ATATTATTCGCATTTTTGTTTTCCCGTCCCCTCTTTACCCCGTACGTAGGCTAATGACCAGTAAATCGCCAGATCCAGTAAAGGATGGGGCTGGCTGGACCGCCACCGCGAGGGGAGTTAAGAGACATACTCCGCGCGTAGTTTCAGATTACGCGCGCCGGTGATGGCAGGATTGATTGACTAGGTGATTTCCGGATTTGGTCGGGTCAGGGGAAAATGAAGGAGGGGGTGTTGAGTGAGATGAAGTCAGATAGATTTGGCCCGTACTTTAGGCCACGCCGACAGTGCATGGACAAGACGCATCGATTTGAATCGATGCGGTGGCACACGAGCACGAGTTCCTCGGTAGCCGCGGGCTCCAGTATACTGCAGTTGCTGCATGTCAGACGCTTTTGCTCATCACGCACGGGGCCCGTTGTTCTTCACCCAGCTGAAAAAGACAGTAGCCTAGCCAAGTCGCATTGGCAGAGGAGGGATGGAGGGGGAGGGAGAGTAAGTTTGGTGGCCAACTGAAAGCCAGCGAGCAATCAACCTCCGGAGTTCGCCAGCTGGGCGAGAAATGGGATGAATCGGGCTTGATTGGCGCTTGGCCGAGGAGGCAGATCTGCACCGATAGACTGCCAGGGCTCGGCTGATGCGCCGGAAGTTAAACGGCATCCCACCCACGGAGTCACTGTTGAGGATTGCCGGCGGCAGGGCGGGTTCTAGCACGCCTGCTGAATGGCGGAGAAACCGGAGCGCATTGGCTCCCGGGACTTATCGCAGATGAGGTGAGAGAGGGGGTGATGGAGGTTAGTGATGATGAGATAGGCAATAGTGCATGGCTGACCAGCCGACGGAGAAGCCGATGGAGAAACCAGGACCCAGATGGACCAGGGCAGCAGCTGCAGTGCGGACTCTCATCGCCGACATTAAGTGCGTCTCTGTTGCTGCATGCTGCAGAGCCAAGTATCTTGGCAACCTGGGGGGACAGAAAATTAATACTGGAGGCGATAGTCTCGAGTCCAGCCCCGGTTTTGCTGGGGACTGAGTGATGAATCTGGCTGCGCGGTTGGCTCTTGCGCACGTCTAGTGATTTCTTAGGTAGTGGATGTACTCTTTTTTTCCTTCCTTGGTCATGAAAGGGTCGTGGTCACTCCGCAAGTTGCCTAGAAATGTGCTCATGGCCTAGAATGTATTTACTCTCCGGTCAGTGCGGTGATTAGGACCCCGGTGTGTAACCCATGAGTACAGAAGAGGAAAGGGAAGAGGAGAGCTGAGGAACATTTCGGACCCGACTGGGTGGTGCCGCATGATGAAACTTGACGACGCGGGTCCGACACAGCAAGCAGTCCGACAAGTCCCCTGCCTAGCAGATCGGATGCAGTGAGGAAAAATAAACCGCCACGACTATTGGAGCTGCAGATTGGAAGAGGATTAATCGATAGATAGGTAGGACCGGACTAAACCGGGAGGAGTATAGGGGGAGTGGGAGGAGAGTAAGAAGAAGAACAAGGGTAAGGGAGACAGAGAGAGAGAGTGTTGAGTGAGTGAGTGAGTGAGTGAGGGTCTGTGTGGTGAGGCGCAAGTCAGCCGATTGGCGGAGAGGAGATCCAGTTTGGGAGGTTCAAGGGTAGTAAGCAGTCTGATTAGTTACTTTAGATTGGGTGAATAATGACGAGAGAGAGAGGGGGTAGACTGGACGACCAGCATAGTCCGAGAGGGAAAAGAAAAGACAGGCAATGATAGTCGTGGCTGACTTGGCTAGAGACTCCAGAGACGGCGGATAGAGAGGCTAGCTCGTCACTTCGATAGCACTAGAGTTCTCGGTCCAGTTGTTAGTTGAGTTAGGTCGAGTCTAGTGCTGTAGGGAATCAGCCCAAGCCCGACAGCGGCTCCGGATTCGCCCGGCTTGGCCCCTCTGGGCGATCGGTAGAAATTTTGGGGGGATTTTAGGAGAAAGGGATAGCGGCCTGGTCTTGGAATCTTAGAACGAAAAAGAAAAAAAAAGGTTTGTGAAGGTTTTGCTCTGAGGGTCTGCGGCCCACGCGGGCCCACGGTTGCGGTTGTCTTAAAGCTGGCAAGCTCTTCAATTTCCACGCGTCTGTCAGCCTGCCTTTTCCCGCTTCTTTCCTGCTCCGAGCGTGCTTATTGAGAGACGACTGGCAGACAGAGAGAGTAAGAAAGAAAGATACTTTCATATTCCTTTTTTCTGCTCCTGCTGCTGCTGTTGTTTCTGCATCTCTGCTTGGGCCCTGTCTTGCTCTGTTTCTTTCCCTCCAACCCATCAGTGCAGCAGCCTAATTTTCAGCCATTGCAACCATGGAGGACAGTAAAGGTGCTAGCCCAATGGTTAGCTATGTTAGGGCTGAGATCAATGTCAAATATGCGGATTTGTTGTTGCTGGCCTGTTGTTTCTGTTCGGGTTTGCTGGACAGCACCATGTACAATGGTGAGTCACTCACTCTCTCTCTCACTCTCTCTCTCTCTCTCTCTCTCTCTCTCTCTCTCTCTCTCTCTCTTATCCCTTTCCTCCACACCTTTCTTGTCTCTACCCCATCAATCTCCATCAATCTCCATAATTCCCAATAGTTCATAATAATGGAACCACACTTACACTCTCCCCCACAGCCTACAATACTTTCGTTTCCATGCAAACAGGAAACACCATTTTCGTGGGGTTGGGTGCCTCGCAGCAGGATAGCCGACCGTACGACTGGGCGCGATCCTTGACGGCCATCGGCTGTTATGCGATCGGCAGCTTCATCTTCTCCCGCATCAACAACTTTCTCGGCCCCAAACGGCGCGGCACTCTGGTCGCCTGTTTTCTGCTGCAGGTCGTACTCGTCATCATCGCTGCGGCTCTCTCTCAGAGCCATGTCATCGCCGGTGACCTAGCCGACGCCCACTCTACCACGTTCGTCACCCACTGGAGCCAAGAAGCCGTCATCGTCTTGCTCAGTATGCAGTCCGCGGGCCAGACCGTCGCCAGTCGTGTGTTGGGCTACAACGAGGTGCCGACCGTGGTGATCACCAGTCTGCTCTGTGATCTGATGATGGATCCCAAGCTATTCCTTCTGCGCAATGAGAAGCGCGACCGTCGTGTCATCGCTTTCATCCTGACCCTGGTTGGTGCCATCGCCGGTGGATGGATCAGCAAAGCCACGGGCAACATCTGGGCAGCCCTGTGGATTATCGCCGGTCTCAAGTTCTTCATGTCCGTTGCTTTGTCCTTCTGGCACGTCAAATAAGTTAATAGATAGCTCTTTTTTTTTTCTTCTTCTTCTTTTTCTTCCCCCCCCATCTTGACATTTTCACTTCTTGTTCTGCTTCGTTAGCCATCACTTCAAATTAGACCGTTCTGCTTTCACTTCCATTCTGCCATACCCATACATTCATCGGGGCCAAATTATCCGGCACCCACGAAGTCCGAAAATATCTCTCCAAGACCACCTCCTCGTAGCTTTGATCATCCACACAATAATCCCCGCCAGAAGGGCCGATATGCGCACAATGCACATCCGGATTTAATCTGACCATGTTATCGTGCACTTCCCGACACAGCAACGTATTCCTCCCCATCTCATATGGCTGCCCAAAGCGAATCTTCTGCGTCAGAAACACATAGCAGTCCTGCATAGACGCATACTGCCGATTTCTACCTAGACAATACTTTTCTTCAGTTCGACAAATCGTCCTGGCAAATAAATCCGCCACTTTCGCTCGAATCTCCGTTTCGTTAGTCGTGTGGAACTGACGCCCCGCAGCTTGAAGAATCTGCACAAATAGCCATTCCAGCCATCGGAAGACAGCGTCGTACTGGGTGATTTGACCGGAGGAGTTGAATTCGAACCAGGCGGTGATTACACCAGGGATGATCAGGTCGAACGTGCTGATGTTGAAGGTTAGGACGACGGTCGAAGCGACGGTGTCTTGTGTCGCTGCGAATTGGGTGATGTTGTAGGCAATGGGAACACCGAAGATGCTGGGGTGAGTGGGTTGAGAGAAAAGACCAAAGATGTATTCGTTGTTGAGGTCGCGGTTGGTGAAAGTGCGGGTGACGTCGACGCGGCCTTGGACCTGTAGTTACTTAGGATGATTATGGAAGGGGATGATGGGATATAGGATGTGAGGGGAATAGGTACATTGTCGGAGAAGATGGACGTGTCGTTGGGGTTGATATGCGCGGTGTTGGCTGGGTAGAGGAAGTTGTCCCAGAAGTGGGTGGTGAGGGTCCAGAGTTGATCGACGGTGTAGCTGGTGGTGAGGGGGATGAGGGTGAGGAGTCGTAGGAGTACTAGGTAGTAGTACATGATGGTGACTTCAATTGGATATAGTCTAACTTTATAGACAATGTCATTCTAGCTACTAGAGGTACTACTGTAGAAATCGTAGCAGCCTGTCATGGTGGCAGTGTAATAGGCATCAAGCCGAACTATATATATCGGACGGCACACGGTACCCATTCTTCATGCGGCATCTAGGCACCAAGATAGATCCCTGTCTCTGCAGCAGTAGCTACAACTAGTTTATTATCCTCATTGTCGGACGAAGCATGTTACATGGACACCAGAAGATGGGAAGGACAGACGGACTGTCACCATGTGCAAGATCCAAGCCATGGCTGATATGTCTGCACAGGGAGTCAGGCTGATGGAAGCTGGCTCACGAGCTGACCCACCAATAATGGCCTGCAATACGAGTCATCCTGCGACACCCCCCATTTCGGCAGTGATAAGCCTTATAGGGTAAGCTACTGCGTGGGTGCCACCGTATCAGCCACTCGGCAGACAGACTTCACCACTGCTCTATGATTCCGCGGCAGTCGGACCCTTCTCTTACCGAACAAAATGACTACTGAAGGACTATCATTCCGATCAACCTGTCACTTGCCTTTCTTGTAAATTCCCCGCATCACGTCTCGGAATAGTTCCGGGGGACGGAACTCTCCGGAATTCAATTCGGGTATACTTATAGTTAGTCACAGCTGCATACATTGCTTTTTCCCCGACAGAGCTATACAAAAAGCAAATCAAAATACAAAATGGCTACCGTCACCCTTACTGGCGCCAAAGGCCGCCAAATCCAAGGTACTATACTCTCCCACCTCACCCTGTCTAGAACCCTCTCTCCTAACAGCACAGTCCCGACCACCCTCTTCATCAACAATGAATTCACCCCGGCCTCCACCAACGAGACCCTGACCATCGAGAACCCCTCCACCGGCACCCCACTCGCAACCGTCTCCTCCGCCAGCCCAGCGGACATTGACCGCGCCGTGCATTGCGCCACACAAGCCCTCCCCGCATGGAAAGCCACTCCGGGCGCCCTCCGCGGCGCCCTCCTGCACAAACTCGCCGATCTGATAGAGCGCGACGCGGAGGACTTCGCATCCCTTGAAGCTTTGGAAGGCGGGATGCTCTACACAGACAGCAAGGCCATGACCATGCCCCAAGCCATTTCTACCCTCCGCTACTACGCCGGCTGGGCCGACAAGATCGACGGCAAGACGCTGCATCTCCCTGACGGTGGAGTGGGGTATACTTTCCGCGAGCCACTAGGTGTTTGCGCCGCCATTGTCCCCTGGAATGCGCCTCTGTATGCCCCCTCCCCGATACCCTAACCCACCAACCAACTAACACCGTACTTCCACAGAATGATCACAATCTGGAAACTCGCCCCCGCACTAACAGTGGGAAACTGCCTCATCATCAAACCCTCCGAACTAACCCCCCTGTCTGCCCTAAAACTCGCCTTCCTCATCCGCGAAGCAGGCTTCCCCGCCGGCACAGTATCTATCCTCCCCGGCGACGGCGCCAAAGCCGGCAACGCTCTCTCCACGCACCCAGCTATCCGCAAACTCTCCTTCACGGGATCCACTGTCGCCGGGCGCGCCATCCTGCGCGCCTCGGCATCCAGTAACCTGAAGAAAGTTTCCCTCGAGCTGGGGGGTAAAGGCCCCTCGATCGTATTCTCCGACTGCGATCTAGCCAATGCGCTGCTATGGACGCGTATCGGAATCACGGCGAACAACGGACAGATCTGTGCGGCGGGGTCGAGGATCTATGTCCAGCGGGAGATTTACGAGAAGTTTCTGGAAGAGTACGCACGGTTATCTAAAGAGGACAAGCCCGTGATCGGGGATGCATTGGATGAGAAGACGACGAAGGGGCCAGTGTCCAGTGCGGCGCAGTTGCAGAAGATCTTGGAGTATGTGGAGGAGGGGAAGAAGAGAGGAGTGAGGGTGTTGTTTGGGGGAGAGAGGATCGGCGAGAAGGGGTATTTCGTCCAGAATACGGCGTTTGCGGATGTGGGGCAGGGGGAGAGGATGATGAGGGAGGAGATTTTCGGACCAGTTGCTGTATGTTCCTTCCTTCCCTTTTCTTTTACCTTCTACCTTTGTCGTGATTGAGGTGGATGGGGGCTAACAAGAACAGTGCATCGCCCCCTTCGACACCGAAGAAGAGGCCATCAAATTGGCCAACGACACCGCGCACGGACTCAGCGCCGCCGTCTTCACTAACGATGTGAACCGCGCGCATCGCGTCACTGCAGGTATCGAGTCCGGACAGGTCACTGTCAACGCATGGGCGATGCTAGCGTCGAATATGCCGTTCGGAGGAGTAAAGGAGAGTGGATTTGGACGGGACATGGGTGAAGAGGCATTGGAGGGATGGACGACAGTCAAGGCGGTAAAGTATAACATTCTGCCTCCAGCGGCCGCGAAGCTGTAACTTACATAGTGTTGTGTGGTCAAATTCATGATAAAGACAATAATAATACACTTGAGGGAGAGGGGGTTAATGCAAATAAAAAGGATCATTCGAGTACCGCTCATACAGCTCCGGATACCATTTCTTCCCGACGTCAGGGTGACTGATGATTCGATTGCGGAGGTAGGCTTCGCCGAACTAGACCCAACATCAACATTTATCAGCAGATGCCTCTACATATCAATATCGTAACAAGGGTGGTGATGGAGGGGGAACATACACAATCGAACCTGTCGGAAAGAAACTCACTCGGCACATCCTCGGCTCTTCTTTTCATCTCATCCTCATCAGAGCACTCCCCCACAGGAACCCTCTCAACAATATGTCTCGCCGAATCACGCAGATTCGACAATGTCAAGTCCATCCGTATCCCCATGAAGAATGGGATACTGTATCGCGTTGTATTCTTGGGTGCCTGCATCCCATCAACATCATCTCTTCAGCTGGAGTACATAAGTAAATAAGGGGAAAAGAATGAGACATACAAGAACCCTATGAACCGTCGCACTACAGATACCCCCCGTGATAGCCTCAAACCCCTGCTGAATATTCACCACTAGTGCCCCCTCATCCTCGAGCGGGGGGACATCGATCCAGTCACCGCGTTTATTAAGCACTTGTAACCCGCCTGTCGTATCTTGTGAGAGGAATGTGAATAAGCCAGTGGAGTCTTTATGCGGCCCTACGCCTTGGGATTTGTCTTCCCCTGAGGGTTGAGGCGGGTACTTGATGAATTTGAGTCTGTCCATGGTTCCTCTGTACGTGTCGAAGGTTGTCGGCGGGAGGGAGAGAGATTCGGCGACGTATTGGAGGAAGGTGTTGCTTAGTGGGATGAAAGAGGTTATGTATTCTTCTACGAAGGATTGGGTGGCTGGTGTAGGGTATTGGTTTTGGCCTTCGAGGCGGGACCAGATTGGTGCTGTTTGAGTGTTCGAAGGGGGGAGGTTGGGGGTGCCGAAGTCGAATTGCTAGTTGGGTGGTGGTTTGTTAGGGTATGTGCTGTGAGTAACATGGCGACAAGGGGGGAAGGGGGAATACTTCTCGCATATCGGTTTTGAGTGCGGTGGTTTCGGCCCCGAGACGCGTGTAGCCTAGGAAAGAGGGCGAGTTGATCATGTTGGTTTGTTCTTTGGTTTCGGGTGGGAGGGAGAAGAGGTCTGGGAGGGCGGCATGGGCGCGTTTGGTGAGGGACTGTGGTGATTGTTCTTTAGTATATTGTGGAATATGGGCGCTGGTGGTGGTTGGTTGCGGCTTACTTCCAGTCCATGGTTCGTGAGATACAGGAAGCCTACGAGGAAGATGGCGTCGCGGAGCAGGGCGAGGGTTTCTGCTTTGGTTTCTGGGTCTTGAAGACGCTGAAAGTCGATGATGGGGACGGAGGTGAAGTTGGACATTGTGATGGCAATGGCGATGGCGATGTTGGTGATGAAGTGGTGAGGGGAAGTGAGGGGAAATGGACGGATGTCATTGTTAGCGCTGAGTAATAAGGTGATGGTTTACTGCCGATGCAGATGGCGTGATCTGACTGACTGTAGACATGGCTATATCACAGAGAATGTGAAGAGGATGAAGGCTGATGATGCTGATGATGCTGTTGGTTTTCGTTTCCTCATTTTCTTCTAAAGGGGGAAATCTGGGTTGACTTTGCAAGTGAGTTGGATTGTATGGAATACTGTTTATTGGTCAAGATAGCTTACAGCTCAGACTTAGCTGACAGAACGAGTAGCTACTCACCAGGAAAGCTGGAAAAAAGCTAGAGGAAAATAGGATAGTTGAAGAGACGGCATCGATCTCAGTACCCCGGCTTAATCTCGGTAATGCCCTCATCCTGACACTACTATTCTAGCGGTGTGCCCTCCACGCCCACAATCTATCAGAAGCACTACTGTACTTTGCCACTTCGGCTATCATGCGAAATGACCGCATCGCATATATTGCATCCAGACTAGAGGTGGAAGAATTCAGCAAGCGTCTTCAAACCGCCGTGATGTCAAGTACCGAAAGAGGCTGGGTCATAACCCTGCATACCTTCGTCGCCTCCGGCACTGCCGACGAACTGTCAACTAATTAAGACGACCTCCAATCGACACACCTAGACCATGCACATGATATATTAGCTGCTTCACATATTTACCATAGGTGGAGAATCAGAGTCACTCAAGAACAGCCAAGGAACTGAGCTCTCCTGCCATCAATCATCTGAAGACGGCGCTTAAATCGTGGCCAAACGGGCAGCAAAGGAACGGATGAAACGGAGCCATCCGAAGGTGGAAGTGGACGCGCTCCATTGCCGAGAATGACCGGTGCTTGGCCTTCTTGTTTCTGCTGAACCGTGGCTTGATGTCCCCGGGGTTGGCAGATTGTTGTTCAACGCGGTCATGGTCCGCGGAAGCAATATCCTTTAAGCCGCGCCAAAAGACACTTTAGCATGACTTGAATCTATTATTCTATCCACGGAAAGGTACAATGCTGACATTTACGATGCTAGTAGCTTTGCTGCGTTAAGGGAGCTTGATCAATGCTGGACATATATCCGGCACTCCACGGAACCGTGCCACTGTGGAGGATAACCCCTGATTGATTAGTATTGCCAAGTTATTCTGCTCCTTCGGCTCCCACAAAATGACTCGTACAACCACTCAGAATCCTCCGGGGGCATGTCCAGACGCGCCAAGCATCGCAGCCGGTGTTCCTGAGCGGACACTAGTCGTGAATGGCACGGACAGTTCCACCGCACAGCCACGATGGACCCAGACTTTAGCTCTCTTGGCAACATCGCTGAAACGCCAAGTGCCGTTGGTGGAATTCAGCTCCCAGCATAATATCCACCTCTGGACAACGTCTTTCCTCACTATGCTCCCTCCCTGCCATGCGAGTGGTGCGACCAGCTTCATCCGTACGGGGCTTGACCGGCATCTTGGCAGTCGCATCCAAAGAACCTGCAGCTTCACCTCGTCACGGTTGCTATGCTGAAGTCCACCTATGGATGTGTCCAGCCAAGCCTGGAGACAGTCCTGATGCTTGAAGTGATTTCATTCTGTCTTAGAGCTCCCAATGCCGCCGACTCATCCATATAAAGGGAACAGGTAGACCCTGAACGATATCCCAAATCAAGCCTCTCACATCGTCTTTCTTTCTCTCATCCCCAACTACCTTTCCATTCTTTTCTCTCTCCTAATTACAATGACCAACTTCAAGTGGATTGTTGCCGCTGCCGGCCTCCTGTCTGGACAGGTCCTGGCTGCCCCTACTGCCACTTATACCCATGCCAAGCGCGCAACCGTCAGCGACGTAAGTACCCTCATTTGAAGAACGTCACAGAAATTGACCTTTGCAGGCTGCGTTCGGCTATGCTAGCATGAACGGCGGCACCACCGGTGGTGCCGGCGGTACTACCACTACCGTCTCGTCCTACGCTGCCTTCACCTCCGCTGTCTCTGGCGATGACGCCAAGGTCGTCTACGTCGACGGCACCATCAAGGAGACTGCCGACCAGGTCAAGATCGGCAGCAACACCTCCATCATTGGCAAGGACGCCAACGCCATCCTTGAGGGATTCGGAGTGTAAGCACACCCCCGCAATGAAGAGTTGAACCGAACTGACATGCAATAGTCTCGTCAAGGAGAAGGAGAACGTTATCATCCGCAACCTCGGAGTCACCAAGGTCCTCGCTGACAACGGCGATGCTATTGGTGTCCGTACGTGACATCCACCCACTATACACCTTATGAGATACTAATTCAAGCAGAGTACTCCAACAACGTCTGGATCGACCACTGCGATGTCTCCTCCGACCGTGACCACGACAAGGACTACTACGACGGTCTGATTGATGTACGCAACCCACAATCACACTAATACCCAAATCAATTCACTAATAAACAACCAGATCACCCACGGATCCGACTACGTCACCGTCTCCAACACCTTCATCCACGACCACTGGAAGGCCTCCCTGGTCGGCCACTCCGACAGCAACGAAGACGAGGACAGCGGCCACCTGACCGTCACCTATGCCAACAACTACTGGTACAACATCAACTCCCGCGCTCCCTCTTTCCGCTTCGGTACCGGCCACATCTACAACAGCTACTACCTTGACGTGAGCGACGGCATCAACACCCGCGATGGCGCCCAGCTGCTCGTCGAGTCCAACCAGTTCGTCGACTCCAAGAAGGCTCTTTACTCCACCGATGATGGCTACGCCGTCTCCAACGACAACGACTTCGGTGATGCCAAGAGCACTGCTGAGGAGGGCACCCTGACTTCCATGCCTTACGACTACACCCTTCTTGGCTCCGCCAATGTCAAGGCTGCTGTCGTCGGCACTGCCGGTCAGACTCTTACTTTCTAAGCGTGCTGCGATACGTTTGGGATATTATTGCAGTAGGGTAAGGTTGACTATACCTTTGTCACTCTTTCTTTTATCTTGGTACCTGCAGGACAGCTATTTAGGCCCTAGCTTGTGAAGTACTCTAGGGTCGGTATATAGTTATTGCTTGGATTGAATTTAATTGAGGCAACAATCATCCTTATTGTAAGCTGCTGCATATGATTCACAACTCGCATAACATACATGCACAGCATAAAGCGAGTGAGTGGGCATATCGGCAAATCCTCGGCCTCACTCCATTTGGACTAGTACTCCACATTCCACACAACCGGCCTGTCCAGACCCACTCACCCAACCAGCTTAATCCGTGGAGTATTCCTGATTCAGTTTGCGGTAGACACAGACATCACGTCTACTCACTTACCCATTAATAGCGACCTGTCTATCACGTAACAACCAACGCTGCCGAGTGGGAGACCCCGGGCCTCACTCAACTAGTGCCCTGAACCATGATATCTTCCCCTGCTACATCCCTACCACTACGATCACTGCAATAAAAGGCAAGAATATATTAAGCTGTGGTGGAGACGGCATTCGGAAACCAGTTTCCTGAAAGCTTGATTTCGCAATCTTCGGGAAACTTATCGATTGGATAGGGTTGAGGCCTCGAAATTGTGCTTTCGGGATGGGTTGGTCTTCATACCTGCATTTGCATGTGCATCTGCGGGCTATACTAGGATGGTGGTTGGCTTAAAAAAGACCAAGTTCGAGGTTAGTATCCTGATAGGGAACCATGCGTCAGACATTCACCACAATGATACCAAAATTTGGTCGACTGATGATGTGATCGTACTGTTGGACATCCACGCAGTGCTTTAAATTAAATGCATATGCATGGGCAAGGATACAGAATTGCGATAGATAGCACCGGATAAGTATAGATCCACGACCAGTGAACTCCGATAAAGATAGAGGAGAGGAATATTGCTCTACAGGTCATATTGTGATTATCTCTGATATCCACCATTGCAGCCGAAGCTCTAACACATGCATCTATGCTATTGCACCTTCCCCACCCCTCTATCCACCCTTACCACACAAACAACCGGCCAAACCTGCAACACGACCGCCCCAACCATCAAACAACCCGCAAACACTTGCGCACGAACAAAGTCCGCCGTTTCTAAATTCACTAACGCTCCTGCAACGGGCGTGCCCACTAACGACCCAAACGAACTAATCCCCCACATCATGCCCATTCTCGTTCCGAGGAAGTCACTGTCGGGACAGAATGCCTTGTGAGCGACGATTGACGTCGGCGCTGTGACTAGCACCCCGCTCACGAACCCCCAGTAACAGGCCCAGACGATGAATCCGGCTGTGTTTGTTGTCGTGATCCAGGTGAACATGGCTAGTGCTGCTGCTGCGACGAAGGCGATTAGGATGAATATTGGTTTAATGTGGGTGCCTCCTGAGGCGAGGAGGTAGGGGACTGTGCGGCCGAAGGCGGACGCGCCGTTCGTGATGGAGACGAGGTAGAATGAGAGGCTGGTGGGAGTGTTGAGGGCGGAGCGGGCGTAAGTGGCGATGTAGAAGATGGGAACGTAGTAAGCGAGCATGACACATGTCATGGAGAGGGAAAGGAGCATGAAGGGGAGGTGAGTAAGGGCTTTGAGTTCGATGAGGCTTCTAGTGCGCGTTTTCTTGCCTGGTCGACGGCAGAGGATAGCGCAGGTTATGAGGGCGAGGAACAAGTTGATGAAAGCAATGCAGCGGACACTCCAGGCGAAGTTAATGATAGGCTGGACTTGGCGGAATAGAATGGGGAAGATGACGCTGCCGACACTGGAGCCGATAGAGGCGCAGCCGATGGCGATGGGTCGTTTGGTGGTGAAGTGCGAGGATATGACGACCATCGCTGGGATGTAAGTGATGCCGCCCCCAATTCCGACGCAGAAGCCCTGCGCGAGAAGAACTTGGTAGTATTCCGTTGCTAGGCTGAGCATCATCATCCCGAACACGACTAGGAAGGACCCAGTGAGGATCAAGGGCCGGAGGTATCCTGCGTCGACTAGAGGGCCGGTCACCATGCCGACCATCACGATCAGGGTGGCTTGGATACTGCCGATCCAGGAGATCGTGGAGGGTGATTCGTCCGGGAGGAGGACCGTTTGGTAGAATTCTTGGAATGCGCCATAGCAGCTGATGAGGCCCCTGCTGGAGGTTAGGACTGCTTGGGGGTGACCGGTAACGGGGATGTAGGTACGTACCAAGAGTTGACGAAAACACAGAAGCCCGCGAGTACGCTGAGCCAGCCTTCCAGCCCTCCGTCGGGCATTGCTTGTCTCTCTGGACTAACCTCGGCTGTGGGTTGGAGATGTTCGTTATGCTCGTTGGACAATTCGTCTGGGGCGTCTAGCCCCTCATTTGGTGTGCCCATGTCCGTTGTAATCTATGTCTATTCTATTCCGTGCATGTAGTCTACAAGGAGGAGATAAGGCGTGAAAAGGATAAATGGCAGAGGTCACAAATGACCAAAATTTCGGGCATAAGCTCGGTTAGATGGCAGAATGGTTCTACCCCAACTTTCGGTTCCCCGCAACGGCAAATGTGGAGTTGGAGGCGAGATCGGGGAACCCTTGGCGTCCCAGTCCCTGGAGTGGGCAAAGCCCTTTGCCGGGGGTCGCCGGCAAGATAGGGTTGACTATATTCTGGCTTATGTACGTCGAATCCCGTGATACTACTCTAATGGTCGTAGTTGCTAACCAGCGGAGGAGATGGATTGAACAATGCGAATTACATAGACATTGCGAGATTCAGAGATCTAATACTAATGTCGAGACACTAGTCGCTCAACCAAAAACGGCATATCGCATCTAGCCAGCCATGTGACAGAAATGCGTGTCCCAACAAAGGATATATAGCATGATGACATCAGAAATAATAGCAAATTGTTGCCAAACTGGGTGTGCATATCCACCCAGCTATTACAGTCTCAATATTTTGGCCTCAATCTGCTGCATACGGGGGCGGGCGTGATCGAACTAACCGAGTTCATCTCAACAAGGTCGAATCAATCGGTCCGAATCAGGGTCATTCTCTCTTGACGCTATTATGGTGGGTGACTTGAAAGCCTCATTCCTGCATTCATCTTTCAGTGCAAGGTCACAATACAAGATAATTTCTTTTCGCCAAACTCACCTCATTCTCACCCCCATCGCGCCCAGCAATATCCTCCAGGGTCAGGGCTGGTCTCGTACCGATCGCACGCAAACCCCGAGCGCCTTGCTCGGCGAGCCAGTCGTATGAGACCAGGGAAGCATAAACACTATTCATATGGTTTTCATTATCCTCGTTCATGTCCTCCGCCGCAATACTCATAGTGTCACAGGCCATCATCATGCACTGCAATAGGAACTCATCGTCTTCATCTGTATCAATGCCGCGATTTTTAGGCGAAAGCACGATCGTAATCCCTGCGTCTATATATAGCCGGTAATAAATGCCGGTCGCATTGAGGCAGAATAAAAAGGAATCTGCGACGTCTTGGTGAAGGTCCCCCGGCTCGAGAATCGTGATGTTGGCAGCTGCAGTGAATTGCACCAATGCAGCTATGATAGATAGCCAGTGATAAAAACGCATGGTCGGTGGCGAATATCAATTGATAGTGGTGCGAAAATAAGTCAGAAACTAGGCCGGTTCTAATACCCTCCGATGACCTTTACAAAGGTGCCAGAGGGGAATGCAGCCTGCTAAAATCTCTTGACTCGACACATAAAGCAAGCATTCACTGTGAGATAACATAACACAAAGATATGACCATGCGGAGAAATAAATACTCTACAGACTTGCCCGATTGTTGTTCGTTAGGTCTCGAGGCTGGTAGCGATGACCTATTTCGAGAGCGGAGGTTTGCATGGCCCCACCCACAGTTGTTACGAAAACGGGTCAACTGTCATATCTAGATGACTCACTCAAGGTAGTTAAATTCAAGTCGGAGCATGCTTACATGAACTACCGGCGTAGAAGCTAAGGAGAGGTCAGTAACGAACCTCTACCGCAAAGGGAGCAACGTCCACTAGTGGGCGAGTCGATGACCGGCAACTCTAGTCAATCTTTATCGCGCTGGATATTGAACTACAATATCTTCATCGCGCGCAGTCTGCGGGCTTCTCGCCCATTATACACTAACTCTAACAGGAGCTATCGCCGACCAGCCGGTGTACTAGCTCATAGATAAGGCCACGATGAAGGCTCCTAGTACCCACATCCGCAGTACTTAGAGCCTTAGCAAAGATCGCGACGCGTCATCCGACTAGGCAGCATCTGAATACCCAGAATGCTTAGCCAGGGCCAGCATATTTTAATTTAGTAATTAGTTACATTGAAATGCTAGTATGGCAGACTAACCTATAAGTGGCGAAATTACGTTCACGATTGGAAGACGTGCTATTCGCTTTGTGCCAGGGCCTTCCTATTTTCAATGGCTGTAGACGGTGAAGATATAATAGGGATTACACCTGACAATTTTACTTTCACGCTCAGATGGTGAGTTTGCCATTCATTCAAGGGTAGGCTCCATATAGCACCCCTCACATCGACAACCCGGCCATATGATCTTCCTACCAAGCCTGTCAAGCGAGAAGAATAAACAAAGAAAAAATGGAACAATTGATATTTTGAAGTGAACGTAAAATCCGAGGGTCTTGAATGAGGGCAACAAAGGCCTTAGAAGGCTTGAGTTCATAAAGGACAGTCAGAAAAACGTCTGTTGGTTAAAGAATATGAGCGATCGTACAGTTGTAAGTTTCCTTCTCAGAATGCTTTGTGGGGCTTTTAACAAGACCCTATTCTACAAAAAGCATATTTAAGATTTCTTTGATCATCTTTCAGAAGGCCTTATCGGTACTATGAATCCGAGCTTCACCAGACACTTACCTTTACATGCACTTTCTGGTAGTTACCATCGCTGTGGCGGGGAAGAGGTCTATTGGTTACACCCCTTGGTATCTTATCCAATGTAAAACTGCCATGATAGCTGTAATTGTCGGGAATCCACGTTCAAATAGCTTTTCAAGCAAGGCACATCCCACTTGATTTTGGGGTCGCTCTCCACTTCAAAGAAACGTCAATCCTACCCGCGCTCTTTGTCGGTCGGCTTTCAAGAACCATATCTTCAGCATTTCGACCTTCACTTTGAATTTGTCAATTCTTCGGGAAGTACCATCCGTTATTTATCTCAACAGGATCACTCAAGTACAACTTTTCTCGAAGCTACCACATCAGGCATTCAATCTTCAAGCAACGAACCCCATTATCTTGGACGGCCTGTGCCTTTTGCTAAAGACAGCACTCGGAATACTGGAATGGTCCGCATATCAAAAAGCAAGCTGGCTTATCGTCAGTCAGTTTCTTTGATGACTTGCCAGTAAGAGAGTACCTAGTGCATACCAAGCGATTGAAATGTAAATACTTAATATGTATTTACATGACTGAATAGGCACCTCATTTTCTTCACAACAAACACCATCATACTACATCTTACTATCCCCATCCCATACATCAGGCCAACAATCGACCTCGTTCAATATGCTCGGCGAACTACCTGGCGATGTGTTGCAGTGCATCACAGACTGGCTAGAAGGTGGAGATCTGAACAATCTGGCGAGAACAAGCACTCACTTCTATCAATACATCAACCCATTCCTGTATCACTGGGACATGCATCATCCTTACCCAGAGGCATTAATCTGGGCTGCAAGGAATGCACAAGAGATAACAGCTCGAATGTCACTATCAAAAATACACACGCCAGAATCATACACAGCTGCGCAAATTGCTTTATCGAAAGCAGCTGGGTTAGGGCATGAGCATATTGTGAGACTCATCCTCTCCACGGAGGGCATCAAGCCTGACGTCAGAGGATCATGGAACGCCCAAATCACTTGGGACGCCCCACTCTACTGCGCAGCGGCGAAAGGGCATGAAGGTGTAGTGAGAATGCTACTCGACTTGAAGGACGTCAACCCCGACCAGCAAGGCGGCTGGGGTGATACACCGTTGCGCGCGGCAGCAGCATCTGGGCACCTAGATGTAGTCAAGTTGCTACTTGCTACCAAGCGAGTAAATCCGAATTATCAATGCTTTCATGGAAAGACCCCATTACTCAAAGCAGCAGCAGGAAACCATCAGGAAACGGTGAAGTTACTACTTGCGACTGAAGGGGTTGATCCTCATTTACGGGATAGTCATGGCGTATCTATCCTGTCATTGGCGGCAAAACATGGCCTTGAAGAGGTGGTTAGAATTTTGCTTGCTACACAGGGTGTCCATCCAGATTTAAGAGACTTGTACAACGTGAGTCCATTGGCTGAAGCAGCACGTGCTGGAGAAGTAAAAATAGTCACCATGCTGCTCAACACAGGAAGGGTGGACCCTAACACTTCCTCCAGTACTGGAGAGACCCCACTTTCTCGAGCGGCAGAGCGTGGTGATGCGTCAATCGTCAAGTTACTTATTACTGCAGGTGCAGACATTCATATGGAAAATGATTATGGATCAGGACCACTCCTACGCGCTGCTGGATCCGGAGATTTGGAAACCGTTGAAGCGCTTATAGCTGCAGGTGCGGATGTTAACACCCAGGATAGCAATGAGGATACAGCACTCATGTATGCTGCGGAATCTGGAAACGTGGAAGTTGTCAAAGCGCTTCTCGCTGCGGGTGCAGAATTCCATGTCCGCAATGTAGACGGAGCAACGCCACTTTTCTACGCTGTAAAGGGAAGAAAATCGGAAATGATCAAGTTTTTTATTTCTGCGGGTGCAGATGCTAACACCCAGGATAGCAATGAAGATACAGCACTCATGTATGCTGCGGAATTTGGAAACGTGGAAATTGTCAAAGCGCTTCTCGCTGCAGGTGCAGAATTCCATATCCGCAATGTAGAAGGAGCAACGCCACTTTTCTGCGCTGTACAGGAAAGAAAATTGGAAATGGTCAAGTTTCTTATTTCTGCAGGTGCAGATGTTAACGTCCTGACTCGGTTTGGGAGAACAGCCCTCACTATGGCTTGTGATGTTCTATATCATGCGGAGACAGATGTGGAGATAGTTGAAGCGCTTATTGCCGCAGGAGCAGCACTTGACACACAAGACCAGAGACATGGAAACACAGCCCTTGCAATCGCGACTGTGCGCGGGTCCTTGGAGGTGGTAAACATGCTGCTTTCTGCAGGCGCCACGCCTGACATTGCGGACAATGCAGGAGACACTCCTCTGTTAAAGGCGTCAAGATTTGGTGATTCGGAAATGGTAAAGCTTCTACTCAAAGGAGGAGCAAATCCAAGCATTCCCGATGGTAATGGACGAACACCCCTCCACAACATAGCATGGAGGCGTCTAATGGACCATGTCGAACTGTTCAAAGTCCTTCTTGATGCAGGTGCGACTGTCGATGTGCAAAGCAGGGATGGTTCGACGCCGTTAGTGATGGCATCACGCCACTGTAGTCCGGAGGCGGTGAAACTTTTACTTTCAGCGGGGGCAGACCCTAACCGTGGACATTGTATTGGGCTTCCACCCCTACCATCTGCAGCGGTTCGTGGCGACGTGGAGATTGTAAGAATACTTCTTGCCGCAGAAGGAATCAATCCGCATTTGCAGGATGAGAATGGGAAGTCAGCGCTGGCGCTAGCCCAAGAAAAAGGTCGTACAGCTGTGGCCGAGCTTATAAGGCAGCACATTGAGCGTATGGGGCATGCCCCTTGAAGCTGCTATTGAGCATTCTGATTGGTGTTCCTGTTATATACCTACTCTGAGTAGATAAGTATGGAGTTACTCTTTTGTTGAAGTCCCTCGTAAAACCACGGAAGGTATTGTAGTCCCCAGAATAAAATGCCAAAATAGTACATTCACACGCTGATTCCCTACCTGGACCGATTACGGCGATGATCGCCCACATTGTCCCCGCTTCATCCCTTAAAAGCGGAAATTGCTGGCTGCTCAACCTCAACCCCAGCGCAGTTCCTGGCCTAAGATCAGCCGAGAAACCCCCGATATAACTTACTAGTGAGCTTATAAATCTCCATGCCCCTCACACTTCAACTAATAACATAGCATTACTTTCGCCATGGCCACCATCCCAATGGCCCACAATATGTCCGTCACCGGCGTGCAGCCCGAGTTCTCCCAAGCCACCACAGGATTCGAATACTACGATAGTCGATTCCTGAACATCACAGGCAATGCCCCAAAATTAGAAGTTCTTCTAGAGAACAATGACTTCCCGTTCGCCCATGAAGCAAGTGTCTTTATCCCATCCACAGAAGAACTGTTCATGACTAGCAACATCTTCACCGATCCCCTCACCAACCAGTCAACCATAAAGATCTCCAAAGTATCCCTTAGCAGCAACCCAGTGACATCAGAAATAATCAATACTACCATTCCTCTTCCCAACGGAGGCATCAACCACGACTCTGGAATCCTTTTCTGCGGCCAAGGCACACTCAACCAATCTGGGGGTTTATTCCAGATGTCTATTGACCCACCATATGAATCTGAGCTCTTAATCAGTGGTTTCTACGGTCGGAATTTCAATTCCCTGAATGATGTGGTCGTTCACAGCGATGGCTCTATCTGGTTCACTGATCCTACGTACGGATACGAGCAGGGCATCCGGCCTGCACCGCAACTGCCGAACCAAGTTTATCGCTATGATCCGAGTACAGGGGATGTGCGTGTTGTTGCGGATGGATTTGGTCGTCCGAATGGCATTTCTTTCTCTCCTGATGAGAAAATAGTATACATCACCGATACGGCGTATACGGTTGGTGATGGGACGACGGATCCGACTAAGCCTTCCACTATGTATGTCATTTCCCCTTCCCCACTCTATGATCTCTTGTCGCTTTCCTTTATGTTCGCAAGTATGGGACATCATCTTACGTTTATGGTTGGCTGATATGGAACTATACAGATATGCATTCGACATCACCACCTACCACGGCCAGCCATTTCTGACCAACCGTCGCGTCTTTGCGATGGCGGCGAACGGTGTCCCGGATGGGATCAAGACCGATATGGAAGGCAATGTGTACGCTGGCTGCGGGGATGGGGTTAATGTCTGGTCGCCCGGTGGTGTCTTGTTGGGGAAGATTTACATCAAGAGCGGCGTGGCTAATTTTTCCTTTGGCCGCAATGGGCGGATGTTTATTATGAATGAGAACCGGCTGTTGTCTGCGCAGCTTGGGCATTGGGTGAAGGGGTCTATCTTGAAAATTTGAAGGAGTGGGATGATTTGGTCCTTTTGCTGAGGTGGGGGTGCATGCAGTGTGGTACTATATGTTCGACGGCATTGGGAAAGCATTATCTATTGAGCTGAGGTTTGCTTTGTAATATATCCCGCATGAACTAGCGCGTCTTTGTGTCCTTATAATGTTGATAACGAAGTCAATGCATAAATTGCAAACCAGAGATGACAGTAAGAAATCAGCATGGGCATAATTAGTGGTGGTCAAATGTGATATGGTGAGTGTATGATCAAATGTGATATGGTGAGTGTATGATCAAATCATGTTTCGTAATTCACCGATTGTCAATCATCATGTGGTTTTACATCAATGCATTGAAAGACAGCAGAGACGATTCTTTTAATAACGAAAGTTTTGGTCACACTAGACTGTCTAGGTCCTTCCTATATACATTGTTTCCTCCAGTACCACATCCAGATATAACCTTTTTAGCTCTTCGCACCGTGATCGGCATGTATACAAGTCCAAGTGGATCTGCATGCCTCTTTGCTCCAGTGCAGGTATTCACAAGTCTCCAGATTCGCCTTACCAAGTAGTTGCCGTTGTCCGTGTACTACCATCTGCAGAGCATGAATTTGCCATTCCGTGTGTGCGCATATGGAATATTTCGTTTTGAGTATTACTATATCATGAATGTCGGTAGGCATGGCAAGATTCCGAGTTCCAGGTACTCAAAGTCCATGAGAATAGGTGTCGGGCAAATGATGTAGGCACTTACAGGATGCACATATGAGGTCGGAGATAAAAAGTGGACACAATGCATGGATGGCATATCATAGGCACTGAAAACAGGGGCGTTGCCTTGGAGAAATTAATGTGAGACTAGAGAATTTAGACATTTGCTTGACGTACATGGGACATTCGTAAACACGCGCAATTACAGGTATCAATGCAATATGATCGGTAAGTTTTAATGTGCCTAGAAGCCTAAAATCTTGAGGGTTCTGTGGCGCGAGTACGGCGCAACCTAGTTCGGCATCCAGGGTTCAGAGAAAAGTGGAGCCGGCATGTTACTGTTTATCCCGAGTACGAACATCCTATCCGGGAAGAGCCACTCGGCCGTCGCCCGACTTGGGCTCCACCATCCCTAAACCCCCTTCCCAAATCGATGTCAATCAAGGTTGGAATAAAATGGGTTGCCCAGTCCAGGATGAAAAGCTGGGTATAAAAGGAAGGATGAATCGTAGAATTGCAATTTGCGACACTCATTTCATTTCATACACTCGTTCCTGGCTCACATTCCTTTAGCGGCCATGTCAAACTTTTCTATTTGTTCGCCTGCGGCCATTCAGACCCCGGTCGTGTACGGGGCTGAGATCATTTCTCTTTCTGCATCTTGGGTCACCAATTACACCGATTACATTCCGTACACGTTCAACTACAATGGAGGTACTGTTGAACTCGAAAATGCCAAGTTCTGCAACATTACCGTGAAATATACCCATCCCGGCTACGAGGATAACATCACCGTCGAGACCTGGCTTCCCGAACCTGCCAACTGGAACGGCCGCCTCCAGGCAACAGGAGGTGGCGGATGGGCTGCCGGTCGGTTTGTGCTGTCCGAATTCTTCATGGGAGGTGCACTTGGGGAAGGATTTGCTACCACCACCACCGATGCTGGACTGGGCAAGGATACTACAGGACCTCGTGAATGGGCGCTCACCAGTCCGGGCAATGTCGATTGGGTTGCAGTGGAAAACTTCGGATCCCGGGCCTACAATGACCAAGCCATCATTGGAAAGAGCCTGGTGAACAGCTTCTATGGTCGTGCTCCTGACTATTCTTACTGGAGCGGTTGCTCGCAAGGAGGCCGACAGGGAATGATGATCGCTGAGCGCTATCCCACTGCATACGATGGTATTGCTGCCTCAGCTCCCGCACAATCCTTTACCAAGTTTACTTCCTCGCTGTACTATACTCTCTTCATGCGCATCTGGCACAACTTGAATCCGCTCGTCTGCGAACTGGACTTCTTGACACGCGAGGCGATCACCTACTGTGATCCCCTTGATGGTGCGGTAGATGGACTTATCTCCAACATGACTGCCTGTAACTACGACCCCTATACCGCAGTGAACAAAACATTCACCTGTGACTCCCTGAACCGCACTATCGCACTGAGTCAGGGCGCCGCGGTCATCGTTGATGCTGCCTGGTCGGGTGCGCAGACCACTGACGGCCACCAGCTCTGGTATGGCTACAACCCTGGGTCCGACATCGCTAGTACCTTTGGTGCTCAACCGGGATTCAACAGCTCATCGTTCGACACCGTGAAGGATGAATGGTTCAATCTCTTCGTCGCTAAGAATATCAGCTTCGACACCATGGGGTTGAGCCACGCGGAATACCAGGAGTTTTTCAACCTCATCACTTCGGAGTATGGTAGCGCCTGGAATGCGGACGATGCAAATTTGCATGCTTTCAAAAATAATGGAGGCAAGCTGCTGACCTACCACGGCATGGTACGTCTTTCTCCCTCCCTCTTCCTCCTTCCCCCAGCCAAATTGCCAAAGCCATGACAGCAGTAATTAACCAATAATCCCTTTACCGAACAGGCCGATCCCAGTATCCCCACCAAAGGTACCGAATATCTCTACAACAAGGCGCGGGCGCTCTTCCCGGATATCCAGGACTTCTGGCGCTTCTTCGAGTCGCCGGGCCTAGGTCACTGTTCCGGCGGTCTCGGCGGCCAGCCGACCACCGTTATGAAGGCTCTTCAGCGTTGGGTTGAAAATGGTACTGCTCCAGACACATTGCCTGTGGAATACCCATCGCTCGGAAATGGTCTCCATCGCAACTTGTGCCCCTATCCTTCCCAGATTGAGTATATCGGTGGCAATATCTCTCTGGCTAAGAGCTTCCGTTGCACCTAAGTGATGCGGAAGATGCTACGTCGTGTCTCTGATTAGCTTCGATTGACCTTCAAATTCTTACATTCCTTCACCTGCAGAGATAAATTTCTTCTTCGTGCACTGTGCGCTTAATCACGTTCCAATTGTATCTAGCTTCATGTATTATATCAATATTGTCTTTTGCAAGCCAGTGTTCGAATCTAAAAGCAAAAGCTATGATAAGGGAAAAGATATAGAAGGCAGAAATGTGCCTTTTCTCGAAATATCGTGATCCCAACATAAAGAAGCCGGTGAAGGTACCCGACAGTCCGGGTCAAGAACGTGTTCAGGGATTTATCCCCGTCAACTAGCGCAGACAGTACGACAGCACCAATAGGGGGTCTCGGATTCGAGACGAGGTCCGAAGAATAATGCGCTTCTTTTTTCAACTCGGTTTCGAGGATCACTAGCTTGATACATCGGAGGCCAAAAGAGGGTCACGAATAGAAGTTCTCTTGAGAAATTAGTCCGAAATTTGCCGTAATATTGAACGACAATCTCTCTACGGAACCCTTTCAGCAGAAATTCCATCTAAATGTTTTGTGTCTTCCTGATCAAGGTCAACGGATGAGTGGGATGGCATCAGGTGGTAGAAGTTTAAATTTTAATGCCAGCCCCGGTGGATCCTGATAAAGGGTCGGACTCACAGGGCTGAAATTCAGGGTCTACGGAATACGAATGAATTTTGGCATAGGCTCTACTCATTACGTAGGACCAGCTTCAAAATCAGTGCAAGAAGTAAGACCGCTAATCTTGAAAAGGCTATTCGCATTCGAGTACGATAACAAGCCAATCAGTAAAGCTGGTGCCTATAAAGATGTGGGTCTTATTACTAGGTGGATCCACAAGGCTGACCAATTCGATTGAGCCAGCTCCCTGGACTCAACTTCTTTTATGAGGTGGATTAGGTGATTCTTTTCCCCTATTGGTGATGTTTCTTGGCTTCAGGTACTTGGCTCAATTTGTTCTTGTATCCTCATCCTTTGCTGAGGCTTGTATGTTTCTCCTAAGTTTATCCGTAGACAATAAGCCTTTTAACCTTGGATTTCCACGCCTTGCAGTTCTGTATGGCATGCATAGAAGAGATCCATGAATTCTTAGCAAGTCGTTAATGTTGTGTTATGACACGAGCTGAGACTGCGCCCTACTATGTGTTTGTTACATAACCATGAATATCAGCTCAAGAGGCGTTCGATCTCGTAGAAGGTCGCTAGTTGCGACTAGATCCTCACCATGGGTTTCATAGTGGATCTGCTGTGGAGTTGATGGCTCCATGCAGGTGAAAGAATCTCAATAACGCTTTCCTGCTCTATGGCACTAATATCGCTATCATAGTTCTGCAAACCCAGGGGTGCTACACACATATAAAAGGCTCTCCTTGCCATAGAACTCCACGCTCTGCATAATATTCTGATCAGACTCTCAAGGGAACAAGATGAACCTCTTCGATTTGATTCTCATGCCTTTCAGCAAAGCGCCTACCTCAGAACCACAAAGCCATGTCTGGGATCCAGAGACTGTGACCATGCAACAACCAACTGCTCCTGAAGCTCCCAGCACAAAAGCTTCGGTATGGTACATTCATGAACAACACTCTCGACTATAGCGTCAAAGATACTGACCACCAGCAAAGACAGCGGCACCGGAATCCTCAGATGTGAACTTGCGAGGAGGTGGTGAAGCAGGAGAAGTTTGTTGTGGAGTGTAGGTTTCCCCTTGGTGACCCTTACTTCTTCGCTCCACTATGGATAGTATACTGATTCTTTTAGATGCTGCGGACTCATGTGCTTTGAGTGTTGCTGTGGGGGCGAATAATATAATGTCTATGCGAGTAGTTTGTGCGAGCCGGCAGACAAATTTTGTGTTAAGGGAGATATTGGTCGGTGCTTTTATACAGGATTGCCTTGTTCCGCAAGGGACTTAGATGTAATAAAATCTAATTTACGATGAACTCAGATACCTTTGTGGCCCTTACAGTAGCGGGTGCAGACATGCGAACTATCACTCTTACTTTTTTATCAAATGCGTGGTGTAGAAGGAGAGCGTCTGGGCCTAATTGAAATGGGGCCGAGTGAAGGGCTTAATTCAAAAAGGGTGGAGACTTTCATCCCAGAACCCTGCAGACCCACAGACGTCCTCCATAACGAGGCTGATTCTACCTATTCCCACGAGAATGGGAATTAGAATTTTCGCAGGTCAAAATTCTGGAAAATGTATATCAGTAAGTAACCATTCAGAAAGATTTCTACTGCTGTGGTATTTGTAATCATTACACGGCAATATTACTGCAAAACCCCCACAATATGTCCTGTTACTTGACTACCCTAGGCGGCCTTTTGTCTGAACAGGTGCATGTGGCTTGTGTCTCACTATATCTGGCATAGAGTCTATCGACTCCTATCAGAGCTTTAAATCTCGGCCGAGCCAAGCGTCCCATGTCGACGAGTGCGTTGAACAATAGTGGATCAGGTTCGTTTTCCGGAGCTTTGATTTTGTCTAGCTTTCCCTTTCTTTTAACCGGATTTGGCAGTTCGCATTCGTGTTGATATGTGTATGTCTCAGAATGATGTTTGGATAATATATATTAGTATCAGTATTGGTAACTAGTGGCAAATAGCAGTTCACGGATATTCGCATGATATACTAGTACTTATGTTACTCGTAAACAAAATTTCTATCATGAACACTTAAAAAAGGGCCCAAAAAGGCATATTCACTGAGCCCCTATATGGGACACTTCATTGAAAATGTCACTCATAGCTCTAATAGCACTACATAGACCTTTTCGGTGGTCGCATCTTATTTCCATGACGCCTGCCATCTTAGAATACGGCCTGCAACAGTTGTTTCGTCCAATATACATTACGCTAAATATATTTACCTTCCCATGTCCTTTAATATTTGTTAGCTACTTGGCTATGTCCAAGATATTAGCTATAGTAGCCCGTGTATCTCAACAGAGGAATCGAATCCTGAAGACTGAAATCCAGCCACTTCGACAGCTATTACGTAACATCCTTTTCTACATATATTTTCGCACAAACATATGCATGATCAATGACGAGCAAGAATTGATCCCTGCAACGGAAGGGACCCTTTTGAAATAGACTCTCATCTGTCGCAGTGCGGTCCTTTGTATTCTTTTTTAAACAATCCTTAAGCGTACTGGCAGTCTACAGTAGGTCAGATCTGGGATATTGGGCACTCTGTATGGGCGCGGCGAAGGAGGTTGACCCAGGAAAGCGGAATGATAGGGGCAACACAACATTATCTACAACAAATCCCAGGCAATAAAGATTAGTGAGCAACTATTTGCCATAAAGTAAATGTATCCAGGTCATCAACTGGCTGGTGAGACACCTCGATGGGGAAACAGCATATTGTTCAACACAACCTACCACTGTTTTTTCGTGTGGCAACGAACCTTTTTTCACGAGTATGACTCGTGAGCAAGTGCGACACCTTTGCCTCACGGGTAGATACATACAAAATGGCGAACCCTGGTGTAACGCGGACCTGGGCTTGGGGCCGGTCGCACGATAACTACTGTGCCGTGATGCGTGACGGATGGGCTGAGAGATAAGGAAGCAGATTATGTTGGTATACATGAAATCGATGGAGCCAAAGCCTCCGCGGTCCGCATAGGCAAGAGATTACTGAAGATAACACAAACAAACTCGTCCTCACTCAGCACGCCACGAGGCATAAGAGGACTCGGGGTGATAAGGCGTTGCTATTTATCATGCGGGTGGGTCTAAAAATAGGGATGACCTTCAGTCAGGACTACGTAGTGGTATTGAGACCCACACGCAATCAAATTGATACCGGAAAACGTTCTCGAACATGAGCAATTTATTTCGTAGACATTGTTGAAGCCCACCAGTATAGTCAGCGCAGATGTGTTGATATTGCTACAGGCATCAATTTGCGCTCATCGAAATTGGGTATTCATGTTGATTGCTGGCGTCCAGCCTCATCAGCAAGTGCCATGCACTTCCAATATCGACGCTTTATTCGCTCACCTCCATGAAGCTGGATATGGAGCAATGGATCCCCACATGTGAGATATTGCAAACGTAATGATAAGAAGGACTAAGGACCGCCTCCTTCATCATTGGGTTTCATGATATGATCACTTTGTGATGGCATCTGAACCAGAGGGCAAGCAGTAGGGCAGATGTAGGATACCTTTAACCTGTGGTGTCTGGTGGCACTCGGATAAGGTCACGAGGTTAACTTGTTTCCGAGCTGTCCTAGGCCGAGAAGTTGTTATGGTTACAAAGCCATCTAGGCCATATACGTAGCCCTTGGCACTCTTGTGAATTATACGTATAAAGTTTGCTGCATTCACAACGTCAAGTTGGTATTTCAACGCCAGTCAACAGTGACTCGTGTATAGGCCACCAAACGTGAATTTGGATTGCTATATGGAAATTCATGAACTAGTGGCTTTTTTCTGCAGCTGCAAATTTGCCAGCATCCACGAGTAAATTAAAAGAAGGTACGGTCGTCCGCCGGCGCAAGCTGGGTGAGGGGACCATTCCGGTAATCCAGTCCGACTGGAGGATGAGTAGCCCCGAAAAGCTATTCAGTGAGAGCTTTAGGCTATGATCTCAGGCCGAGATTTCTGCTCGGAAAATGGAGCACGCTCCCGTCAAGTCAACTCAACATCGGTTAATACTAAAATTATGATGATTCTCAGTTCATTCTCCAGCAGTGGTTTTGCTGCGCAAGGGGCAATGATCTCAAAACAGTGGGGCTAAGAGTGTGGAAGCAAACAGAAACACCAAGGAATGGTGTACTGGGAATAACGGGGCTCACGTTCCCAAGTTGTTGGGCGAGAAGGTCGTGCAAAGTATACTATTCTGGTGCCACCGGAGGACACCCATTCTTCGCAGTTTGGACTAGAGCTATTCTGGAAAGGTTGCTATGGGTATGTTGAAATATTGGCCAATAGTGATGTCCAGACTGGAAGCAATGCCCTGAATGATGGGGGTATGAGTGACTAAGCGGAAGCGCCGATCATCTTGGCAACCAGCCTAGTCTACTTAGATCGGAATGAAGTGTGGAACAGCCGTTATCGGCTCTTCAGACTTACATGGAGCCAAACACGGATTGATGGGCGTGTACGTATGCATTCCACCTGCTGTATGCCACCTTGATGGCTGTCGACCTAATTGGATTCCATACCTGTATTATTGAGTCCCTATATTCACGGATATTACAAGCATGTAGGATGTTGTCAACAGAATAACACCCTTTGTGAGTATCATCCAAATGGGTCCTTTTCTGAAGCTAGAACCAAGATTCTGATCAGCACAGTTACGTATCAATATCATTTTCTTCACCGCAGGGCTGAACAGGGTCAATTAGGATTCATCTGCCACCCGCGGCCTGGACCAGATTTCCTTGACCACGGTGTTTGCGGGTTCCCTGCGGAGTTCGCTGAAAAGGTTAGCAGACCCCGACCATGGGGTGTGTGTGGTATGACGAATCTGTCGACTAATCTAAAACGCCCAAACTGGCTCTCGCTAGGCTCGAAAATAGACAGGGGGTCTTCGACCTGCCGCCTTAACATGATACTGAGCTGACGAAGCCTCGACTTGGCACTAACCAGCCATGCCCTATTTGGCTTGGCGCACGAGTTCGCGCAGGAACCAAAAGCTTAGCCTTTGGGAACTGCTTGCTTGGGAGCAGAAGTAGATCACTCTGCCTGGAATGTAGACTTTATAGCTTGTATATGTGTCGAATTCTGTTCATCTCTCAGTGAATGTTCAGTCAGGCAAATGCGAGTGCCGAAAAGGGTCCTAGAAGCCGAGACCCTAGTTGGACCTCCTGTGGCCTGCCAAGGCGCCCGACTGCTCGAGCGGAGATTTACTGACTCCACCCGGATAAGGTTATTACCGCCCTAACATCGGGACCCTCTTGGCGAAGGCCCTGATTAGATGCAGATTGGATGCATCCCATGCCATTGTCGCTGCTACTCCCTGCTACTCGTGTCGGGGTTTCAGGTCCCGTTTGACTAAGTTTAGGAAGCATACAAGCAGCAATGACCGACAAACAGGTTATCACTCACACTTCGCTGCGCTGCAATATGAGAAATAGTCTTCATTTGGTCACAGCCCCTTCTGGATCTTTCCATCACACTGCGCCCATGACATGCGAAAGCCAGCTGTCACAGTGATCTACTGATGTCACTAAACCCCATAATCTGGATAATACTGTTCCGGGCCGCGCAATCGGGTGACGAGTGTTAGAATCTGAGTTAATTTCTGCTGCAGAATGTCAAGCCTGGTGGGCCCGGCCGATGGAATAGCCTTCTCACTCCACTCGAACCACAGGAGACGGCTATCACGGTATGTCCCCAATATTGGGTAGATGATCGTACTATATAAGACATCCATCCGCCACCCCAAACAAACTTCTTCAACAGACGCTTCAGTCAGTCTTTACAGTCTGCACCTTCACTCATTCAATCCACCTCCACACTCTTTAGTGACCCTCAACATGCGCAAGTCCACTCGCGCAGTTGTCGCTGCTCTGGCAGCAGCCACTGCTCAGGCTAGTTCCCTGTCCGATCTCTGCACTGTTTCCAATGTTCAGTCCGCCCTTCCTTCCAACGGCACCCTCCTGGGAATCAACTTGATCCCCTCCGCCGTCACTGCCAACACCGTCACCGATGCCAGCTCTGGCATGGGTAGCTCCGGCTCCTACGACTACTGCAATGTCACTGTTACCTACACCCACACCGGCAAGGGTGACAAGGTTGTCGTGAAGTACGCCCTGCCCGCTCCTTCCGACTTCAAGAACCGTTTCTACGTTGCCGGTGGTGGTGGTTTCTCCCTGTCCAGCGATGCTACTGGCGGTCTCGAGTACGGTGCTGCCTCCGGTGCCACCGACGCCGGCTACGACGCCTTCTCCTACAGCTACGATGAAGTCGTCCTCTACGGCAACGGCTCGATCAACTGGGATGCTACTTACATGTTTTCATACCAGGCTCTTGGTGAAATGACCAAGATCGCCAAGCCCCTGACCCGTGGTTTCTACGGTCTCTCCAGTGACAAGAAGATCTACACCTACTACGAGGGCTGTTCCGATGGTGGTCGTGAGGGTATGAGTCAGGTCCAGCGCTGGGGAGATGAATATGACGGTGTCATTGCCGGTGCCCCTGCCTTCCGCTTTGCTCAGCAGCAGGTTCACCACGTCTTCCCTGCCACTATTGAACACACCATGGACTACTACCCTCCCCCTTGCGAACTTGACAAGATCGTCAACGCTACCATCGAAGCCTGTGACCCTCTCGACGGCCGTACCGACGGCGTTGTCTCCCGTACTGACCTTTGCATGCTGAACTTCAACCTCACCTCCATCATTGGCGAGTCCTACTACTGCGCTGCACAGAACTACACCTCCCTGGGCTTTGGCTTCAGCAAGCGTGCTGAAGGCAGCACTACTAGCTACCAGCCCGCCCAGAACGGCAGCGTCACCGCTGAGGGTGTTGCTCTCGCCCAGGCCATCTACGACGGTCTTCACGACTCTAACGGCAAGCGTGCCTACCTCTCGTGGCAGATCGCCGCTGAGCTGTCCGATGGTGACACCGAGTACGATTCCACCACTGACTCCTGGACTCTGAGCATCCCCTCTACCGGTGGCGAGTATGTGACCAAGTTCGTGCAGCTCCTCAACATCGATAACCTGGAGAACCTCGACAACGTTACCTACGACACCCTGGTCGACTGGATGAACATTGGTATGATTCGCTACATTGACAGTCTCCAGACCACCGTCATCGACCTCACCACCTTCAAGGAGTCCGGTGGTAAGATGATCCACTACCACGGTGAATCCGACCCCAGTATCCCTACCGCCTCGTCCGTCCACTACTGGCAGGCTGTCCGTCAGGCCATGTACCCCAACACCACCTACACCCAGTCCCTGCAGGATATGTCCAACTGGTACCAGCTCTACCTCGTCCCCGGCGCTGCTCACTGCGGTACCAACTCCCTCCAGCCTGGTCCTTACCCCGAGGACAACATGGAGATCATGATCGACTGGGTTGAGAACGGCAACAAGCCTTCCCGCCTCAACGCCACCGTCTCCTCCGGTACCTATGCTGGTGAGACCCAGATGCTTTGCCAGTGGCCTTCTCGTCCTCTCTGGAACAGCAACTCCAGCTTCTCTTGTGTTCACGACTCCAAGTCCCTTGCTACTTGGGACTACACTTTTGATGCTTTCAAGATGCCTGTTTTCTAAGCGGGTTGAATAAGAAAGTATGAATATTGGAAGGTCCTTTGATAGGATCTCTATCCGCCTGTATGTAGTATCTTCGCTTCGATAGTCGTTGTACTTCCACCTTTTGTGTCTTCTTCAATCTGTATACGTGTGAAGAGACTTTAACTAGCTTACTTAGTCAATTATATTACTTGACTGTATATAACACTTATTACTACTTGAAACTGAACATGTCTTCTTGCAGTTCAATGCATGTAAAAACTGTGCACGAGCAATTTCAGAATATGTCTGCGGGTTGTGAGAACAGAGGCAACATTTGTAATCAAGCTAACCAATCCCCGAATCCATCCGTGATAAGCAAAAACAAAGCAATTACCGCCCCCATTGCTCCCCCTCACCAACAAATGACAACAATCCGAACAAAGTCAATAGTAACAATTCTTAGCCTTCACAATCCTTCGTCTTGTTCTTCATGGCCCGTCCCGATCGTAATTCAGACCATATCTGGGATATTCGGACGTTCTAATAATGCATTAGCACAGGTCTTGTACTGAAGCAGAAGAAAAATTGGGAATTTTCAAATTTGGGCAGTAAGGAAGGGAAAGGAGGGGGTCTGGGTGGAGAATTTCCAAGGCAACTGGAACTAACCTGATCAGAAACCTTCCACAAGGCATAGGTCAAAAGAAGGGATGCGGCGCCCAACACGATGTACCAGCGCCAGTCAGGGTTGCTTTGCAGAGCGTTGACGTTCATGCCGAAGAGACTCTGTTGCTATCAGCCGAGGCAGACAACAGCATAAAAGGAAAGAAGAAATAAAAGTCAGTTGACGCTACTACTTACCGATGCAAACATCAATGGTAAGAAGATAAACTGCCCTCGTCAGCAATGTAATTAGAGAAAGCCAATGTATCGTCTTACAGTGATTAGGCTGATACGTCTCATGAAAACCGTTTCTTCAACGGAAAGCCTAGCAAATTCCTGATACTGTAAGAGGGATTCAACAAGGTCAATACTGTGGGAATCTTACCATTTGGCGGAGATCACGCACGCGTTCATGTTGCTTATCTAGTCGATCAGTGATAGTCGCCTTCAGTTGTCCGAGACCCTCTTCTGCCTCTTGCAAACGAAGACTGTGGTATACATCCACCCTGCGATATTCACTGATTGCCTTCTGTATTCCCTTTACCTGGTCTTGAAGGGCCTTCTGAATGGTGGCCAAGTAACGTGAATCATCAGCTAGGTCAGTAATCAGAACAGTGGCGCTCGTCTCGTCACCATTGCACTAGTGGTCAGAGCTGTCAGCGTAAGACGCAAGATCCGGGGTAAGGGGTCGACGTACATGATCAATGATATGCGTCTCTATTTCATCGCATATCAGGGACCATTCCTGAAATAATTCGCCAATGTATTGCTGTAGGAATGTGTCGTCGCTTGCAGGAATCTGGCCGTGAGAGATAGTACTGCTGTAGAAAACCGGCTGTACGTCGCCGTTTGTATTCACAAATTGTGGCCTTGTCCACGATATGCACCAGCATTTATGGCTTGCTATACCATGAGAGTGGAATGGGCTATGTCTCTTGAAGAATCCTGCCTCCGGGTTGGGGAATTCTGCTGTTAGAACACAAGTTATTTCGGACAGTTTTGTGTCAAGATGCACGCGGCTGTATGAGTAGGATTCTGTATTATGGTGGAGACCATGCTGCAATGAGGCTATCCAATTTTGTTTGCTATTGTGTAGCCTGCCAATCGTTCCTGTTAGCATCTAAAGAAGGTACTTCAAAAGGCAGTATTCACCAGAGATGCTGAAGCATATCACATCGTTCGACAAGATGTCCTTGTGGAGTTACATCCTCTGCTTGGTAGAAGTCGAAGACAAGGATATTGTTCTTCTTTCGTACCAGCTCAAATGAAACATTCCGATACGTTTCCTCCAAATTGCAGAAAGATGCCATATTCTTACTGTCCGGCAATATATTAAACCAGTCCGCTTTGTGTTTGAAGCAATCCACTTTGGCACGACACCGAAGGAAAAGCTTCACTATCGGTAGCAGTCTTTTCTCTTTTGCCAAAGCTAAAGGGGTTAAGCCACGTCTGTCGGCTTTCTCTAGAATTTCCACTAGAGATCCTGACCTCGTATATGTTGGAGCTTCAACAGTGTCCGTAGGTAAATCGGATACTCGGGTGATGATTTGTTGGAGGTGATGCTCCATAACGCCAATATTAGGGATGTCAAGCATTATATGGAAAGCGTTCTCTTTGTTTGGTCCTTGCAGTCTGGCAAACGAATAATCGTTGGTAACAAGCCATTCCAGATGTTCAGATCGAGTGTGAGCATTCCTCGCAAGTAGCCTCAGAGTAGTATCATCATCGTCCCACAATAGTTCGGCAATATCGCGGTTTCTAGCCTCTATGGCCCACCAAAGCGGCGTTTTTCCGTCTCGGTCCGCCACGCCTATATTGATGCCCTCGATGGTAAGAAGTACCTTGACGATTAAATATCTTTCGAGTCGTACAGCACGCGCTAGCAGGGTGAGGCCAAAGGCATCATGCTCAGACAACATGGATGCCTTCATATGCTTGGATGGAACTTGTGTCCACGTCCAGATACCCCAGTGTCGGTGTTTTACCTCCAGTGAAAGGCCCCTTACCCCCCGGGAATGGCTTCTGTCCCAAATCAGTGGAAGAATGCGGAGATCATAACCTTTAGTTGAGTGAGACTCGCTTTGTAAAAAGCATTGGAGAAAGTAATGGCAAGGTGTCCAGCCTTGGTTATCCTTGTCATCAGAGAACTCGACATCCCAACTGAGTAGCTCAATCAATGTTTCGTGGCCGAATTGTGCTGCCCAGGATAAGACCGATCGTCCATTTTTGTCACATCGGTAGGGGTCCGCTCCAGCTTCTATCAATTTCTTCACAGCCCACGCGTCTCCAAGCTCTGCTGCGTAAGACAGTGGGGTACGACCGTCTTCATCCTGCTCGTTCAGATCATCCAGTTCGAGGCCCTTCAGTAGCGAGTTCCATTTCTCACGTCCCTTCCAATATCCCGGTGGCAATAACTGCGCTGCGTAATGGAGCGGTGTCATACCAAACTCATCTTTTGTGTGTGAATAGGTCTCGCTATCTCGCTCAAAACGATCGCCGAGAGTGCAGTGGAATTTTTCTAGGGCCCTTGATGAGTATTATTTTCTCTTTTGCTCGGCATTAATTTGAGTAGGACTAGAGGCACACCTATGGCTGCTTCAGAGGCCTCCTTTTCTTCCTGTTCGAACCCCCAGAAACTTTCCATTTTTAAGCTTCCATCCAATACCAACGGTGACGGATAAACAGTGCTCACACCGGCCTCGAAGAGATTTAGAGCATTGGTAGAATAATACATCGTAGCCTAGATCGCAAGGCTGTGTGGCTAAGGTAGCATCCGTGCATCGCCTCGCGCTAAGTTGTGGTTTGGTTTGATTTGATGCATTGCTGTGTGGGGTGGAGTGGATAGTACTCCGTTCGGGGATCCTGTTACTGTAACCAGCGCTGTTGAACCAGTGTCTAAATACACAAAACCAAGGTTATTAGATATGAAGAAGTTTCAAGTAATATGGCATTCCATGGAAATTGTTTTCGCGATCCTACGCGCCGTCAATTCACCCATGTGTGGACATTGAGCTTTGTTGACATCTAATCTAACCGAGAGGCGGAAACGTGGCTATGCTCGCAAAGGATCGCATCGTGCAGCAACCCCGCTCAACGTGGCCATCTTGCTAAGGCATTAACGTGGTATCATTGAAAGCAAGTTAGAAATAGATCTAAGGTGCTTGTTAAAGATTAAATATCATATTGTGTTTTTTGGCTGCTTAAAGTTGAGGATATTCAGGATGTCTAGGAGATCTCGAGTGACAGAACCCTACGGTGTGCATACCAGCGGGTATGCATAAACGGGTTTCCAGTCTTAGTGTACAACTACTATTTGTAGTCTTTGCTCTGCGCTTGTCGAGGGAAGAACAATACCAGTATAAAGAATATTTATAGGCATTCAATGCTATTGGATAATTAATACAAAGACGAAGGTAAATATCACTGCACTATCCTAGTAACCCCCATATCCAGATGGGTTCTGAAGTAATATGCAGTGCGTTCAGGAAGAGAAAGAGAACTCAGGAATGTTAATGGTGGTAACAGTCCAGGTCTTGCCACCATCGCTGGTGGACATGTCGCCAGTGACGCCGCTACCCTTGGCAAGGGTGTTGATGTAGTTGGGGTCAGCAACATCGAGGATAATCTTGGTGTTGGTCCAAGCTAATGTGCGATTTTATTAGCAACGGAAAGATACTTCGGCAAGGTCATTTTTCAACTTACAGTGAGCACCGACAGTGCCGCAGTTGTCCTCGGCACACTCGACAGCGCTACCCCAGCCCTGAGCCTTGCCATCGCTGGTGGAGAGAGTAGAGACGGTCTTGCCGTTGATCAAAACGGTCTGGGTGTAGTTTCCGGTCGAGTCATCAAACTTGTCTATAAATCGCGAGTTTTAGCTATGAGCCAGGAACGACAGCTTGTGAATGTCACTTACAGTGCATGGTAACCTTGTCACCCTTAGTGCCGTCAGCCTGGCCATCACCGTAGATGGGCTCCTGGGAGGTAGCTATGGATAGGAGCGGGTAAGTAATTATTTCATTTATTGTTGGATTCCGTGGTCGCTAACCGCTAGTCTCCTTAAGAGTGTAGGCGTACATGGTCCAGTCGCTCTGCTGCCAGTTGTCGGCAATAGACTGGATAAGGTCACCGTTGGAGGTGCCCATACCAACCCACAGGGAGGTAATAGCATCGGAGGAGCCGCCGCTAGGGCCGTTAGGGAGGACAAGAGTCGAGGTAGCTTCACGGATGAAGGAGTCGTCGGAGACGGGACCAGTGCTGAAAGCAGGACCCATGGCGGCATTCACGCCGGTTGCGCCAAGAGCAGCAAGAGCAGCGAGAACCTGGGTGCGGGTGTACATTTTGATGGAGTTGTGTATGGTAGATGCGAGTGAATGCGGGAGCTTGTATGGTGTTGTTGTTCTGGTAGACGGACCGCGAGGACGAGGTACCTTTTTATATGTTCTAAAATTTTATGAAGTAGCTTTCAAATTTCCTCCCCTAGAAACTCTCTCTCTCTTCAGTAACTATTGGCGTTTATTGTCTGATGTTTCGGGGAAATATCCACCAGTGGGGTTTCGGCCCCCGGAAGTATTGCCCTACTTAGTTGATGGGGTTTTGGCTCTTGCGCCTTTCTTTGCACGAATGGGGTGTGCAGACACAAACATGCCCCCAATGCTGTCCAGGAGTCAAGAAAAGAGTCAATCTACATGGATCCCTCTGACAAGGCTACTGCCGCAGACTCCTACCTCGACTTCCCGTCCTGACCCACTTGGTGGGTAATCAATTCCGATTCCCGACACCATCAGGGAAAGCTCTCTTCCAAAGTCGGTCACACCAGACAAACATTTAGAGGTGAAAGTAGAATTCCCCTGGCTCTGGACTGATTCAGGACTGGTCTTCAGGGTTGCCGTTGCCTGTCCTGTATTTAGCGCACGAATTTATTAAATATCCGAAGGTCCAGATGCTCGCTAAATCTTGGTAGGAAATGTCGCCATAACGTTTCCATAATGACCTTGTAGATTAAATTTAGTCATGAGCTTGCTATAACTAGCGGTTACTCGAACTTAATAACCGCCATCAACAACCTTGGTCCAAACGGCTATTCTGGTTTGTTACGGGAGAGTGCAATATGGACCCTCCCTGATGCCCATATGGCCGTTCTCCACTTATGGGCCCTGCTCTTGGCGCCCTACTGTAAACCCTGGAACAACCCCTATGCAGGGGTCCTCCGTTTCCGGCATTAATAGAGTAACAGACAGACCTGTAGTTGTTTCAACACTTTTAGGGTGGTTAATCTTCCGCCAATAGGGGACTACAGCGGCTTCTTCATTACTCCATCCATAAAGGTATGAGCTCCGTGTTTCATCTAAGATCCTTAGTCATACCTAACAACCACCACCCACGAGGGCGCCGTAGGAGAACTGGGTGCGAGTCATGGGAACTTTGGCATCCAATTCGAGTAAGGTTTACGGGATATTGATATAACGATTAAGATTAACTTCAGTTGACGGGTGTGATCCGAAAGCTAGGCTTCTATGCCATTGATGACCCACCCGGCCTTACACATTTATTTGACCTACTCCGTAGATGTCCCTAATGTGGGAAGCTTTAGCCATATCGTCTCTTTCTTTACGTTATTGTAGTAAGTAAAATTATTGTAGTAAAAGTATAAGGAACTGTTGCGACACCTTCACGGTATTGAAAGTAACGAAGTCAAATATTAATGTTGTGACAGTCAAAATATATTTCATCAGCACCGACGGTTTCTGTCATGTAGGTGGCCGATTCTGATCGAAATCGTCTATAATTAAGTTCCTCACTTCAAGGCCACTACACAGTCGTTTGCGATGAGCGGATAAAAGCTTCACCGACTCGAACCATATAAGTTATTATACGTTCAGGCAGCAGGATTTTGTTGGAGGACATGGTCAACTGGAATGATTCTATTCGTCGTATGGCTGTGGAGCCACGGGGATGGTCATTCAGCATGGCATGGCAAGACGCATTAGAGAATACCCCTAAAATCAAGGGGTTATCATGGGATATATAGAAATTGAATCTACATTGCACATAGAACACTTCGGAGACTTGGAAACTGTTCGGAGAAGATACGCCTATATTGTATTTTGCTTCAACGCAACCCAGTTGGGGAGAGAATGGACCCCTGCTCCATGAATTCATATAAGGAACATCCATTGCCAGATTATGAGGAAGGCAACAATGCTACCGCAATGCAGATTGTGATTAATTCACTCAAATTCTACTATTATCTATACTACTGTGTCTCTCAGAACCGAGCTTGTGTTGCTTCATCCCTTGCTTGGACGACGGACAATATGCGGTGCACAATATTTTCGTGGCAGTAGGATAATCATAATCATTGAACTATCTTAGCATCAGTTGAAAATATATACTATGCCATACGTCATGGGATTTTAATGGTTGCGTATGCGAGCTTGCTAGGTTCGCAATCATCGTCAGATTATTTAAGCGCCCATGACGACTACACCGTTTCAATATATTAGCATATACCATATATTGTGCAACGTCGAAGAAAAATATATTTACATAAAAGATGTCGGATGTCTACAATGTAAATCTACCAGTTTGTGATACCTGGAGGCCGATGCCATCTTATGTCCGCAATCATCGAGTTGAGACCTGACCTATCTCAGTAGGTCTTAGTATAGGCAAAGCGGTACATAACAATTGAGGTTTTCACCCTAGATACAGTCAGTTATCTGTCACAATATCCTCTTCATTGTGCTACCGAAATAGTGATGCCCCTAAAGTATGGACATCGTGATTATATATTTGTGCTGACATAGCATGTCTGGATCACGCGGTATCATGTTTCTGCGAGCTATGAAGAAATTTTCGGTGCAGCTGCCCAAGCTACAGGATAGGACGGTCGGTCTGCGGGGAGGGGGGGAGTTGGAGCTGTCATAGTACATCTCGAGATCGATCTCCTTAAACCTTAATCTATGATGAATTCGGAGACCTGTCATATGAGATTCCATGTCGATCTGGCTAAGTAGAGAAATTGATATATGATACTCTTTCCTACTGTGCATCATTTTATCTCTATCATCTTATTATTGATGCAACTTGAGACGTGCGACCCAAATATAGGACCTTAACTGGTGAACACTACATCCATTGATGCCTTAATGTGCGACCAATGTATTCAGGATATCTCCAAATCCCTAGATCCTCAGCCACTCGGCGCAAGCGAGGGTTTTTCCCTTCAGCCTATGAGAGGCACGCAGGGGGCCTCGATATCCGTATCATTTGAATTGTAAGTCCAAAATGTAGACGCAATCAACCAATCAGCTCGCATGGCTTAGTTGGTAAAGCGCATGACTAGTAAGCAATCATGAGATCCTCGGTTCGAATCCGAGTGTGAGCATTTTTGTATTTTTTACTTACCGCCGTGACGGCAGGAGACTTTTCCGGGTAAGTGACTGTACAAGGTCCAACTGTTCACAGTGTCTTCATATGCTCAGAATAATGTTTCCTAAGTGCTCCGTACTCAAGAGTCATATTTGTGAAGGCAGTAGTATACTCATCAGCTCGTAGGGTCTGCTCAGCAAGCCCCCTATGCAAGGGATACATCGACTCCAATTGACTGGCCAGCTGCACAAGACAAATCAGGTGTCGAAACAATTCATGAAGTTTTCAAAAATAAACCATGGGGTTATGTAGTACGAAAATTTACTCTATGGTAAGATGGGACACCTACATGGCACGTATTCTTCCTATAACAATAACATGCGGATAACTCGTCCAAAAGAAAAGCACAACCTAGGACAGAGCCAGGTTGTGAAAGATGGTGAAAAACGAGCCATGATCAAATCAAATTCATACCCTGCGAGATACCTAATTGGCGCTGCGGTGTACAATGCGATAAACATCGCCAAAATCGTGCAGGTGGACAAGCAGCGGTGGGATACAACGGAGAGAGATGTACCCGGCTTCGGCTCTGGGTGATCTGTCATATATAGTCTCCTCCTAAGGGACATGCTTGCGACCGTGGACTGGGGAGCCTTCGACTATAGCCTCTTAGCCGGTAGATGAATATTGTGGCACACAAAGTAATAAATGCGATAGGTACAGAGTCCATTTATCATGATGAATTTGCTAGGGATGACTACTAAGGTTGCCTCTATTATGGGATATAGTTTATTACGGCAAGTTAGCACATCAGGGTTATACATCTTGTAACTTGTTATGTCAGTAGCTCGTAAGGGGAGCCTCAAGCAATAGCATCGAGCGTACGGACGAAAACCTTTGACCCAGTATCGATGTATCCTGTGCAGCATATCACCAGATCATAGAGAATTTGAGATATCTTGAGCCTTGTCCAGGCCTCAACATGCCGATACATATGACATGATCAGCTGTGCGTGAGAAGCAATAAGATCTGCGCAAATAAATGGAATGATCTCCCGAGGTCATATGCAAAGCATATGCCCTACACAAACCTCTAAGTTCAGGGTTGTCTACAAATACCAAGTATGCTACAGCTACCAATCAGGGTTGCAATATCGCATGCCCATGTCGAAAAAATGAATATAAGACCCATAACAGAATGTCAATGGCATGTAAGCAATGCATGGTTTCCCCTCCTTGAATCTCACAAGGACGCAGGCCAACGTTACACTGGATCTATTATTCGATTTGATGCACCAATAATGTGTAAGGTATTTGTTGCCCGTGGTATCCAGCCTCCCGGTGGCTCGTATATAAACCCTCTCGAGATCAACATCCATCTATCTAGCAAAAGGCGTAAGTCAGACATCTGGAACTAAACCAGCACAATGAGAGCCAGTCTACTCTCCGTTCTCTCTTCCATTTCCCTGGCTTTAGCCACGGATCCAGCCAACTTGCTTCCCTGGTCGCCTCCAGGGCACGGTGATGGTATGTCTGACGCGTGCAGTTTGCGATGAAAGCTAAGAAGCAACAGTGCGAGGCCCCTGCCCAATGCTGAATACCCTCGCGAACCACGGACTTCTACCACACAATGGCAAAGACATTTCTGAAGAAGATATTGTCGATGTGCTGGGCAGCACGCTGAATGTTGCAGAGAGCCTTGCTGTTGCTCTGTATAAAGAGGCCATGACCACAGTTGAAGACCCCAACGCGACTACCTTCTCCTTGAGTGACCTTGATCGCCCTGGTATCCTAGAGCATGATGCCAGTTTGAGGTATTTGCAACCCCAGACACATCAGGAAATCAGGCTGACTCGCCCAGTCGCCAGGACCCTTACTTCGGGAATGACCATGAGTTCAACCAGAAAATATTCGACCAGACAAAATCGTACTGGACAAGTCCTTTGATTGATATTGAAGAAGCAGCCGAGACACATGAAGCCCGGTGGAACACTTCCAAGGCCACCAACCCTGACTTTAACATTTCGGAGACCGGGACAGCATTCAGTTTCGGAGAGTCTGCCGCCTACATGCTTGCATTTGAAGAAGACGGTATTGGGTATGCCAACAGATCTTGGGTAGTATACTTTTTTGGTGAGTGAACTTGATGAATCATGAGCTCATAGCGCCGCTAACATGTTGATTGCGTAGAAAACGAGCGCCTGCCCCAAGAGCTTGGATGGACTAAGCGTCCATTTGTTACTACAGGCGAGATTCTGTTCAACATGACCCAGCGGATTGTGAATTCCACTGTTGGTGTCACACCAGAAGTTATAGCCAAGCTGAAAGACTTTGCTAAAGCGAACCCCAGTTTCGCTGGGTCTTCGTAAAATCATGATATTGATGGTTTTTCCTGTCCTCTAGCGCTGGGGGACTATCATTCCTGAGAGAAAGAAAGTTGCAGATTGGAACAAGGGTTTGTTTTCAATGGATAAGGCAGGTAATGCGTTTAGTAATTTGTGAGAGATGAGTTCACACAGGTTCACCATTCACCCATCTGTCAATAATGCTCGGAAAACAACTGACCTGTACACATGTCTCAACGGGTGAACATTAGTCTTTTGCAAATATTACCTACCTAGGGTGCTTCTGCTTGAGTTTATTATTATTATCAGTCCGTCCGATCTATCAAAGATATGATACTACCATCTAGGATCCATTAGAGCATCCACAAACCGCCCTCTCATATACTATCTACTACAATCAATTTCACATCGCAGGCGAGTTATCATTTGGGTGAGCTAGACTCCAACCACTCGCTCAATAGTCTCCCTTACACCATCCATATTCAGCCCCAGCAATCCAATGGCGAGCTTTTGATCCCTGACGTAGTTCGTCTTCAAGCCAGCAGTACTCCCAAAAGCGGTCGCCCGAACTAGCGCAAACGCACCACTAAAATCACCTACATTCAGCTTCTTCAGCCCCTCGGCTACCTGCTCGTCAGTTGTAGTCTCAGTAACTGTCCACCGTGAGCCTGTAACATCCTCAAGCGTGTTCAAGATTTCGTTTTGGGTAGTCTCGACCGACGCAATATACAGAAAGCGGTTTTTGGTTTCCTCCGACCGTAAGACGACAGATAAGACAGCCTTTCCAAGCTGTTCCTCATTCGTCATGGTGAATGATGTGACACCACCGTCCCAGATCACTGCAGACTTCGTCTTGATGTCAAAGCCGAGGAAACCAGATGCAAGTCCCTAGAATATCGATCAGTCATAACAGATCCAAGATATGGTAAGAGAAGACAACTCACCCAGTCGAACAACCCAGAAGTAGCAATTGCAGTCCAGCTCAACCCGTTTTTCTCTTTCTCTTTCAGATAGTCAATAATATCTCTCTTCTGCTGAAATAGAGGGAGTAGCTGGATCACGGCATCATCTTCGCTGCTGGTCGAGAACTCGGAGGGAATAAACCGTTTCACGCCTGCCTCGATCGCAGCATCAACGAATTTCTTTTGTTCAGTGAAGGCAGTCCCACCAACTGCGGAGATGAGCACATCTTGCCCACGAAGGAGTGACTGGAGACTGGAGGGCGAAAAGTCGGTTTTATGGACAGTAACGCCGGGTGGAAACTCAGTCGTGCCGGATGGTTCTTGACGGGATAGGACGGTAACGGCGATTCTCACATTCAAGCTCAATGCCTTGAGGATAATTTGACCGATCAATCCAGCTGCCTGTATTGGTCAATACGGTGTCCGAAGAAACATAGAAACGAAAGATATACCCCAATGATCGTGACTTTGGTTGGGATGGCCATTTTGGTCTGAGCAGAGCGGAAGATGTGGTATGAATCGATTGTTTGCTCGAATCTGCTATGAACTTGCAGCTAAAACTGAGGGAAGATAACCTCTATTTATGTTTGCCTTTGAAGCATTGAATCTACTTGATGATCACTTGTATACACACTAATACGCTTTTCTCAACCCTAACTTGGGACTAGCCCCGACAGCTCAATGCTTAGTGCTTACATCCCATCACCCACCTCTAAGCAGATGATTCATCAAGATTATAAATACGGACTGCGCTCCGCTGTCCGCCCTACCCAATCACTGATTGATCTTCACTCTTGCGCCATTTCACTCACACTCTCACCTGCCCAAAACTGCCTACGTTGGGATACGTCTTCTTATCTTGTCAATCAATAGACAAAAATGCTACGTCGGACAATCGCATCCGGGAGATCCTGCCTCGAATGTAGTCGGCGAAAGATCAAATGTAATAGGTCACTGCCTTGTTCCTATTGTGTAAAGATTAGAGCGGCATGTGTTTATCCGCCGACGAGAAGGCGCTCTCGGAGCCCAGACCCAGGGAATGTCAGTGTCACTAGTCGGCTTGATAGAATCGAGGATACGCTACGAGTACTGAGCGAGGATTTGAGTCAGATTAGAGACTCACTACGCCAGTTAGTCTTTTTTTCGGCATCCGACACTACGGGGGATGGTGAGATTCCCCAAACGAGACCCTCGAATCCTCATGGAGACTGCGTCGATACTGGCCATAGCCCGGAAAATGGAACAGAGCCTCCAATCTGTGAAAATAGCACTTTTGGTAGCGGGAAAGAAACAATTGAACGACAGCACCCATCGCCTGTCACAATATTCATTCTGTGGCATTGGTACCTGGATACCGTTGATCCTGTGCTCAGGGTATTCCATACGCCTAGTGTTCAGAAAGACCTTATGCGAGTCATCATAGCAGATACCACTGTGGATGTGGCAAAACAATGTTTGCTCTTCGCGATATATTATGCTTCAGTAACCAGTATGCCATCTACCACGTGCCTGGACAAGCTTAATGAAGATAGGCCAACACTACTGGAACGGTAAGATAGCCATGTCCTCAAACTTGAACCTAGCTAACAATATAGATATCGCAATGGAGTCGAGCGCCAACTTGCACGAGTAGACCTTTCATCGTCCTTGGAATTTACTCTTCTACAAGCCTTCATTCTATACCTTGTGCGTGATTATGTCCTTTCGCCCCAACTCAGCTTATAATCGTACTAGACCTGCGCCCGACTAGACAGTCACGGCCCATCAGTTATAACCCACCTCCCTACAGCCATCAACATGGCATACCGGATGGGTCTCCACCGCGACGGCACAACACAAAACAATTCAGTATTGGAGACTGAATCCCGACGTCACCTATGGTGGCAGCTCGTTACCCTTGACACCCGAACCGCAGAGAATCACAACACAACCCCCTATATCCTTGAACCATCCTTCACTACACAATTTCCATGTCTCATCGTTGACGCAGGCCTCCCATCACCGATCACATCCAACGCCACTACATCTAGCACGTTCTTCCAACTTCTCCATTTTGAACTCATATCCTTCACCCGACGCATCATTTTCTCGGACACTTTCAACCAAGCAAACGACTATCACAGTTTGTCCCCGATCCAAAAGCACAAGGCCATCAACGACTTCCGACAGTCACTGGAAACCCGATATTTCTCTCACTGTGGCTCCATAAATCCCATAGAGTTTATAACCGCGGCAACTGTCCAGCTCTTCCTTGTGAAAATGAAATTAGCGGTGTGTAGGCCTGGACACAATTTTCGACCTATTTGTGTAGAGGTTCTTCAACGAGCCCTAGCGCTAAGAGAGCATGAGCCGGGACAGAAGTGGCTTTGGTTAGTTCAAAGAGATATAGAGTGGGGAATGTTGGTGTTGCTGCTAAATGATTTATGCGCAGAGGGAATGAACGAAGGAAGGGACGAGGCGTGGAGGGTTGTTGAGCAAGCATATGGGTATTGGAGGGGAGATGAAACTGGACGGGAAACTGGAAAATGGGCGGTCATTGAGAAACTAAGGGCCCGTGCTTTGACAATTCGGGGTTACGAGAGCGAGATCGATGTACCGAACGGACTCGAATTGGTACCGGACAATTATGGTCCAGTGCCGACTGAGGAGCTCGCCGAAGGTACTGGGACGGGAGAACTGCCTGGAGATGGGACCGTGTGCGAGTGGAGTATGGAGGCGTTTGAGCAATATTTTCAAGGGCTGGGTGCCGGGGACGGTATGTCGAATGTGCTTTAAGCTGTTAGCTTGTACGGAAGCGTACATGTTTAGATGGAACCATACATAGTTTGGTCGTTGCGTGACGATCTCTATAATACTATTACATACGGACATGACTTTATGTCACAGGACAGCAAGAATATGTGAGCGATACAAATGGCGATTTCGTGCTCTGCTTATAACCTCGTTAAGAAGTGTAGCGTAGAGACTACGTAATTAGCAGCGATGAATGCACCAAAAAGACAAGACTGGCCTTCAAAAGTATGGTTTGCTCAAGCAAAATGTCAGGTGTCACTAGCAGGATTTTCATACCCTGCAAGCTGGCTGCATGCTAAGCTTTATAGGCCTGCAGGGCCAATCACATATTCATTCGTCTGTGCGCTTGCCAACCAGCTACTCTGGCAATCTCCCTCTTATGCTCATTCCTCATCCACTCAGCCGGCTATCAAAGCAATATATTGGAAATTGCTTATGGCGCAATCTTATGCTGGTCGGAGAAATGATGAGCTGGCGCGCAGGGCCCCGCATCTTCCCCAGATTGAAGCCACGGCCACCAGATGCTAGTTCTTTTCTACCCTGGTATATTAGAACTGACATTATCGAACGCTGTTAATCAACCTACAGGGATTGAACAGACATGAGTGTAACCCTGCGATCGGGGCTGTATTACGCCCTGCCACCATCAATAGCGGGCTTCGCCTACGGATGGGAGATTGCGTCCATGAGCGGTATCTTAACGATGCCGCAGTTTCTTTCCTACTTTCATACGCCATCAGCTTACCGACAAGGTGCCATGACAGCGGCTCTTCAAGCTGGCGAGTTTGGGGGTTCGCTACTGATTGGGTTCTTTCTCGCTGACCGATTCGGCCGTCGATACACGCTTCTCATTTGTGTAGCTATTTATCTGATCGGGCAAGCACTTGTTGTCGCTGCACAAAACGAAGACATGTTTATTGCGGGCCGACTTGTCAATGGACTCGGTGCGGGTGGGCTATTCCAATCTATTTCTCTGTAAGTATATCATCTTTATCGCTCTCTCTAAATTATTCCCTCCCCGGATCTCGTGGTTTTGCTGAAAGTGTCAGGTATACCGCCGAAACAACCCCCCACACAGTCCGCGGCATTATGTCCTCCACAATGAGCGCAGGGATCGCGCTTGGCTTGCTGGTATCTTACTGGGTACAATATGGCGCGCTCAAGATTCCAGGAACAGCCGCGTGGCGCATGTGCTTTGCCTTGCAGCTAGTACCTGGGGTCTTAGTGGGTATGCTGATTTATCTACGCCCAGAATCTCCACGCTGGCTGTTGCAACACGATCGCAGCGACGAGGCACTTCAAGTTTTGGCAGACCTTCATGGCCACGGTGACTGCTCCGATCTATCCGTACAAGCCGAGTTCCAAGAAATTCGTGTAGTCGTGCAATATGAGGGCCGCAGCCCTCCTCCGTCATACCTGAGCCTACTCATCAAAGCGCCCTACAGGCGTCGCACTGCGCTAGCAATGGGTCTGCAATTTATGCAGAACATCAGCGGCGTCAACATCGTCTTCTACTATGCGGCCAAGGTATTCGCGCAGACTGGACGCACCGGGACCCAAGCGGCAATGCTAGCGAACGGCATCGGATCCTCCCTGTTCCTTGTTGCCTCCTTTTCGCTCACTGTCGTGATTGACCGATACGGTCGACGGAAGCCAATGATTATCGGCCCAAGCCTCATGGGCATCTGCATGCTTGTTGTTGGCATGTTACTAGTTGGCTACGGCTCGCCGCATTTCGATGCCGAATCCCAGCAGATGAAATACAGCTTTGCGGACGTCAAGGCCGGCAATGCGGCAATGCGGCTGTGGCATTTGTATTTCTATATATGATTTCCTTTGGCTCAACGTGCGCTGCGCTGCCCTGGACTTATCAGAATGAGGTGTTCCCTATCTCCGCGAGAGGCAGAGGGACTGCACTTTCTGCCTGCATTAATTGGTTTGCGAATTTTTGGCTTGGTTTATATATGCCTGAAGCGTTGAATAAGGCTGCATGGAACATTTATTTCGTTTTCGGGGGTGTTTGCATCGCGACTTCTTATGTTACGTATTTGTTCTATCCGGAGACTGCGCAGCGGTCGCTGGAGGAGCTTGATTTGTTGTTCACACCGAATCGGCGTAAGCTGGTTTGCTTTGACTGGGAGGCATGTCAGAAGGGGTCATTGCTGCATCGTGATTTCGAGGGCGTGGAGGTGGCACAGCAGCTGGAAACTGCGCTGGTCATGGGAGGGATTGAGAAGACAGTGTGAGTTGAAGATTTCTTTTTGCGCTTAGTATACCCGATACATACTAGTATGTTCAAGGGACCGTGCTAAAGAGAATAATACGAAATTTTGACTCGTACGCGAATAACAAGAAGGGGCATGATGGTGGATGGATGTAAGAGCCGAGTGATTAAAGCAGAAGGATCAGAACGGACCATCTCCCGACAGCACACAATGTGCTTATACACAGCCCCTACGGATTAGAATAGGCACACTAAAAGTAAGCTTCCTCGGCGTCCCACTAGATGGTCACGGAACTATAATTAACCCAGCCTCATGCACAATGATGTTATTTGTCTGACAATGTCCTATCAACATCCCAGTAGACTTAACCCGGCCGGTCCCGCCCAACCCAATCAAACTCCTTGTAAGCAGCCACCCGTATCGCTGGCCTGGTGATTCGGTAGAAAGTAGTCACAGGTGAGACAATTCCAACGACGCGTATAGCTTCATGCTTGTCAGATGCCCTGTCCTATTAGGATGTGCTTAACGGAGAAATGCGGATGCAGCTCTCAGTTAGAATAGCCAAGCTCAGATGATCATTGTACGCCTGATTGTTTACCGTAGAATGTACATGAGGCCGAGTTGAGGTTGTCATTTTCAGCTCTCAGTATGCAAAGAATATAAATATGCGATTGACCGTCTCATCTAACATCACAACCACAACCCATCACATCCACCCCAATCTAACCAACTGATCACCATCCTCGAGACCACAACAATGACTTTCCTAGCTACCTTTATCTCCCTCCTCACACTCTTCACCCCTGCCCTCTCCGCCACGAACTGCAGCACCGGCGCCTTCACCGTCATGTCCATCCGCTCCGGCACTTTCATCCAAAACCTCCCCCTGACCGCCGCCGACACCAACTTCTACCTAGGAGGCACGACCTCCACCGCATGTCCAGAAGACGTAGCTGAATACGATGCCTGTCCACCAGGAGATGAAACGGTGATCGACTACAGCAACTATCTGGTATGTCTACCTACCAATCCAAGTTCCTTCTCACCACGTAAATGACTGACAATGAACAGAGCTCCGGGTACGTCCAAGAAATCTACGTCGACCCCACCGGCGCATTGAAGTTCGTCGAAGCGCACACAACATACATGAACCCTGGTGCGTCGACGAGCACGTTCTGCTACACGCCGGGTACGAGCTATGGACAATGGACGTATACGGGCCTCGGGGCGACGGGGTTCATGGCTTGTCCGTTGGATGAGGATGAGGAGGTGAATGGGGGTGCGTGGCAGGTCTTTGCGGCCATGAAGAATGCGACGGTGCCGTCGGGGAATGTGAGTGATTGCTTGGGGTTTGAGGCTCTTGCGTACCCGTGGGTGTCGAATGGGAGTTCGATTGCGGCGTGGCAGTATGATTGATTAATTCATGATTTCTTTGATGGGTGGTAGTGTTATGGAGGTGTGAGAGGGGATAGTATATATGTTGATTGTGTCGCTTCTGGGGTTTGAAGTTAATACTACGGGGGTAATTGTTAATCAATGAATGGATGCTTGCATAACTATTCATCCTGGTAACTTATAAATATATACTCAAACTGCAACGCTGTCATACAAAGACAGTACACCACTACATAATATTAGAAAATAGTTGAACAGTACTAAGGACCTACAGCACACGTCACAAGGGACTCAGAATCAACCCAAATCAACCCACTCTAACCGATAAACTCTACTATAGTATATCCACCAGCAGTCTCCCACCTCCGACAACTCCGCGGAAAACTCACGCCTATCGCCTAAACACTTATCACCCCATACTCTCGGACGACCACAACAACGCCCCCACACCATCCCGTCAAGTCTACTTTGTACTAGACGCTGCACCGCGTCTCGTCTACTCCAGACTAAAGACTACAATTCTAACCGGCAATTGCAGCCATCCCATCGGATGACGTAGAACCCCACTCACTCCTCTCCCTACCAGGACACGCGACACAGACACAACCCTACGGACCGACATGGGGAAAAGGAAGCGACCTTTTCTTCTTCCCCGGAAATCCCTTCCCTTCAATGCCGGACATGTATTCTACCACTGACTTGTAATTTCCATTCACAACACACGATACCTCGACAACATCCTCCACAGCTACAACGTTCGTACTCACCCGGCCTCCGTACCATTTGAAAAACAATCACAAGAACCCCATAGATCCGTCCCGATCAGATCCGACCCCGACATCCAAATGCCGCTCAGATCCGGCATGTCGGTCTATCCATCTAACTAACAATGGGGGCGAGATCGAAATCGAAATCAGAATCGCCGAGCCCGGAATCGGAATCATCACATCCATCCACGCCCTACCTACCATGATAAATAGTAGAGACTACTAATACCCATCACCCACCCAAACAACCCCATTGGCCAACTACATGAGCATATCCCGGCTTACGATCCCGAAAAATTCCATCACAAAAAAAGTACTAACCCAAAACTAGACTACTAATTAGTTATGTTCTGGTTTAACGTTAGTCAGCCCAACTAACTCACCACTAGGCAGTTTAGTGCAGAAACTATCTACCGACTAAACTTAAGTAACCCAAGGGCCATGCGACATGGGACACATGCAGGGATCAGACCATAGCCAAGACATTGATTGTCCATAGGGTAAGACGGGGAGAATATTTTTTTTTTTTTTTCATTGTATCTTTCCCATCCTCTCCGGGGTAATGTCTTGGTTTTCAGGCACATGGCACATGGCATGACATTAGGATTGTTCCATGGAACTGAAAAGAACTGTGGATGGAAGAAGGGGAAGAAGGGGTAAATAGTCTACGCCAGCCGCTTTTTTGGATGTTAGTGGGGTGGAGTGGGCTGGTTATTAACCGGGTGGATAAATTGTTGCATTGTTGCTTTTTGGTTCATAACGGTTCAGTTGGACTGGCTGTTCCTGGGGGAGGGGATAATATTAGGGGCAGCTTCGGGGACTCTTTCCGTTCGTATTTATCTATTTCTTAAGAGGCGATCATAACAGTCCATTTATTGGGTCACCAATATCTTGAGTTTGGAGGAAAAGGGATGAAGAGTAGAGATATTAACTGACATTAATTAATCATTTATCTAAATTGATTAATTCGGAAGATTTCCCATCTGGGAATAGACTCCCCCCGTCGTACCTCGGATCAAAACTCGGTACGCCGCGCAACCGAAATAAGGATGATGAATTCAAGAGACCAACATGTCTGATATATATGATGCCGAACCAAGAACCGAAATGCCAAAATCAAACAGCCACGGCATTATGCCTCTGTGTGGTAAAACTGTATAGATGATATCATAGCTCGTGAGAACCCAATAACCCAAGCCCGCCAACCGGAACACCACCCATGCAAACCCTCTATAGGAACTCCTTTTCAGATGAATACAGCGACGAGGTCGAATCTCCCGGTCCGGGGAGCTGCACCTTGGTCGCATCGAAACCCCACGCGTGTTCGCGAGCTTCCTTGCCGTTGCGGACTTGCATGGGCATGGTCCACTCCTTCAGGCGGCCCTCCAAAAAGCCCAGGTCACGGTTCTTTTCCCACATCCGCCGCGACACCTGGAAGGCGGCATTGACCGTCCCTCGTCGCAGATCCTCATAAGCCTTGAAGGCGACAGGGAGAGGATCGTAGCGGTGCTTCGCTAGGATGCGCGAGAAGAGAATGGCGTCGTCTAGGGCGTACGCGGCAGATTCATCACGCGGCGGCATCTACTAGTATCAGTATTGAATCAATGGCATTCGAGGGGTAAACACTTACTGCATGCGCCGCGTCACCGAGGAGGATGACCCGGTTACGGTACCAGCGTGCACCCGGGCGAACTTGCCAGACAGGATAGAGCATCCAGTCGTCCGCCTTGTTGACCATGTCCCGGATGGCCGGCAAGCCCGACCGGCCGAAACGGTCCCGCATCTCTTGGCAAAGGGCATCTTTGATAGCCGCGGTGCGCCGCCAATCCTGACCCGGCTCAATCTTGTAGTGCGACAGGAGCTCCTCCCGGAACTGCACGATGGCGGCAACGAAGATTTGAGTATGATCTCGATCACAGTAACTGGCGAGCAAAGAGCCATGACGGGAAATGTTCATCGAGGTGGAGCGGAAATGAACAGGGGCCTTGATGTCTTTGCTATCAATCATGGTTTGGACGAATGAGATGCCAGTGTACTCGGACGGGTGCTCGGGAGAGACCCATTGGGTGCGGACGTTGGAGTGGACCCCATCGCAACCAAGAACGAGGTCCCCGGTGGCCGTTGTGCCATCTTGAAAGTATAGGACGGCCTTGTCTTTTGACTCCTTGCCGCGGACCAGCTTCTTGCCAAAGACCACATTGACGTTCTTAGTGCGCTCGACAACTTTCAACATGGCCAAGGACAGGATGATACGCATCACTCTGCGGCCCTTATACCCACCAAATCCGTTTCCATTGTCATCAGTAAAGTTGATGGCGCCGAGGGAGCGTCCCGAGCGGCTGGAGAACAGCTGGATAGCATCTACATCGGTGCCAGACTCCGGTCCCAGCTTGTCCAGCTCGTCGAGGACACCCAAGCGATCCAGATGGCGCTGAGCAACGGGGGTGAGGTTGATAGCACCGCCGGATGTGGAAAGGATGTCGTGCCGTTCATAGACGTTGATCCGGAGATCGGGGACAAAGGGCGTCAATTCCTTCGAGAGGGCCAGGGCAACGGCAATGCCTGCAATGCCGGCACCCACGACCAAGATATCGCGGGGGACCGATTCAGCTTCGAGAGGGGGAGCTCGGTCCACGAAGTTCCAGAAGCTGACCCAATCCTTTCCGGCGGAAGGTGGCGGAGTCGCCTCATACCCAAGATCCATCATGGTTGCAAGTTTTGCAATGTGATTCAACCGATACGACAGCGGTAAAGGGTTCTATTCATGAGAAATGGAGGAAGGTTGTGGAGGGGTGCTGCCATAAAGAGAATGCGTGTCGTGTGCGTAGCTGTCCAAACCAGAGAGGATTCGCTTAAAATAAAAATAAAGAAGATTCTAGTGAAAAGAAAAAAATCCTTCGGAGGCAAGACTTGACTACTAATATCCAGGGGGAAAAGGTTAGGGGATTGGGGTTTGTATATGTACACCAATCACCCCGGTGCACCGGCCAGGCTCCGTAGTTTGTAGAGACCAGCAGGAGACATGTTCGGCCGGATATGGAGACTGTTCGGAGGTAGGTCTGCCATGGTGGTATGGAGACTCGACGCGGCGAAAAAAGTTGGCAGGAACCAAGACCCAAAAAAAGTTTTACTTTCCATGTCGAGAAAAAAAAAAAATAGAATAAAAAATAAAAATAAAAACCACGAAAAGAGATTTGCCTGCAGGCTCTCCACTCATAAAACTAAACCTCGTCTGGCGACCATCGAGGCAGAGACCGAGCATCAACGGCGCCAGGCCAGCGTCTGCTGCTCCACCCGACCTCCGAGACCACGGCCGATTCGGGATGCTATAGGCTGGTGGGACCAAGCTGTCACTGACTGAACGGTATCCTGGCCCGCGGTGGGCACGCTGGATCATCTCATCACAACCGTTACGGTCCGGCGCGGCACTCTTGGGAGCAAGTTAGTCCATTAGATCCATTGGTGAGTGGTAGGCACTATATTGAGGGGACTGATAGATCAAAGGGACTGGATGAGAAGGAAGGAAGTGCTTACCGAGGTTGAGACAGGAAGGTGTGGGTCAGTCCGTGTGGCAGCTAAGACTGAGATGAACCAGGATGGAGGACTGATCTTGTCGGCCGGAAGGGGTTCATGTTCGTGTCTCAACTCTCAAGCGATGCCGGCGCAGAGACCGGGAATGGTAGGAAACTATGCATGGTGATTGCAGAAACAAAGATGTGGATGAGCTGAGATCTTCTGCTGAAAAATTCTACTTGTTTGGTGTGTGATTGTGCGTAGCCAAGACACTAAGGCGTGAAGAGGGCAGGGGGGGTCACCTGCTCCTGCATACATCCTGGCATCTTCAGTCAGGTTTTTCAGGCTAACTAACTACAGGTGAAGTTGTTGATGATGATGTAGAGAACCCCATCGGAAGAATGTTGTCGTTCAATTTACTGCCGCTGAAATGACCGACTTGGTATCTCAATCACATGTTACGATCGCAATGGAGCTTATTAACCCAGACTATGAGGATCAATCCCTGTCAGCGCCATCTGCGCTTATCCTGATATCCCAACTCCCATATCAGTTCCACTAAAGGAGTTGTGCGCCTAACACTACGCATTCCGGTTGGAAATCGATCCAAAAGCCAGGCACTAATAATTCAGGAACCGCACACAGATGGTCCAAGTGCCCTTCGGTCGCGATCCCGACCCTCCGAAATGATCAGGACAGTCTAGACTCCGCTTGCAGCTCCCCTTGGTTGTCCCCTCTTCCCGCGACTTGGAATCTTCGATAGGGGGTTAATACGGAGAACTATGGGAGTCTTTGCGGCCGCCGGGTTCCATCGACGGTACTTCTCCATCCAACCAAATTCGATGCAGTCCTCGCGCTATTGTCCTCTCCAGTCTCCACTTCGTTTGGGCTCGTCCGTGAGCTGCGTGACGTAGCCTCAATGGTCTCGGATCGACTACTTGGTAGGGAAACAGACTGAGAAGGGAATGGCAATTCTGTTAGGCGAATTAGAGGCAGCCTGTTGCCTCGTATAGACAGGCACTGGGGGAACCACATATCCATTGCCTGCCCTCACGGATGTCAATGTTCATGCACCTGTCATGCACAGAGACAGAAACCATGCGTGACTCAAAACCGGTTTCGCTTGACCTGTCAGATCTGAATTTTCTAGCGTCAACTCGGGTTTCCACCACTCAGGGTCGACAGCCAGCAACGCCCTCCGAGAACAGTGTGTGTTCCTGACGATCCATAGCTGTTTTCTCCCTAGTAAATATCTAACCTAGTCACCACCTACCGCTTTTTTTTTTTTTTTTTTTTTTTTTTTTTTTTTCCGTCACCACGAACTGCCGTTGTTTCTGAATTTCAGCTTCTCGTCACTAGTACAAGCCGGATCGTTTCAATCCAGAAGCAACTCCGTCCATGACGACTACTCAGCCTTATGCGGAGGACTGCTTCCTCGAATCATGGCTCGCAACAGGGGATGTCAACTCCTCATCTGCTGCAGCCGTTCCGGAGGAATTGCCGGAACGGCCACGCGAGGCCCCTCTTACCCCCCCTCCCTCTTCCGCTATGCGGCGTCTCCATCACCCCTGGAATAGAAACATAACCTAGACAGACTGACAGAGACATTATACGAGACTGCGTCCACTACTACGATACAACCACCTACCACGGAAAACAGGTCCGTCAATCACAGCCTCCAAACAGATGCCAGGCAACTATGATATCGCACCGCATCAAACACCCGTTGACCCCAAAAAGATCGGAACAGAAGGAACCCATAACCGTACCCGGAAATTGCATCCGCCCAGGTAGCCAGAGATGAGAGAGACCTCGCACCCGATATCCGACACTGACGATCTGCAAGTCCAAAACCCCTGCTACTCTTGGCGGGCGGGGGGAGAGTCGTTGTCACACGTACGCAAATAACCGTCTCGTGATGAGTTTAGTGCCTAGCACAGCTACCTTCTATAGGCTCAACGGTTGGAGAGACAGGACAAGAGAGCAGGTATATCCCCACCCCGGTAACTGTCATCAAACTCTATCGCGAGATCGGCAGGCCTAGTTCATCCTGAGGACGTGGCTTGACATATTTACCCATGCGTGAATCAATTATTATTATTATCCAATATGAACTAGATGTACTCATCATCATCAACCTTAGTTCCATGCAGATGCAGATGGGATGGGGATCTCGATTTGTGGTAAATGCCGCATGGCGGAGGGCATTTCCCTATATGAGTGGCCTATTATTGTTCGTGGGTGATCGTCGCTGGTTAGGCTGTTTGAGTCGCTTTGTGGTACTACTACGTAGGAAGATAGGTCTAGATCTATATTTCGGAGTTGCTATTCCGTGCATCATGATGAATCTACAGGTAGTAGTAAGGTCTCCAACCACAGAATGACACATAGTATCTCTCACATCTAACAACTTCCTAATCACTACGCCGTTCGCGGAATTCACAACAGACCCAACCCAGACCCAGACCCAGACCCAAAGTCTCCCAGGCAAAGCATGATAACGTACGGAATACCGCAAGCTATCTCATCACAATTGTTCTCAACCCCGCACATAACCCAATAGACCAAACTAGACCACCTCCTACAGTTGACGTATCCCCATCACGTCAACTATATTAAATATGAGGTGTATGTTTCCTCAACACATGGAGATAAGGCGAGAGGGCCAACTGAATTTTGGGTCCGAGCGTACTTCCGGTCCCCTACTAGTACTAGATTAGACCTACGATTGAGTCGCGCTGTGTCACGTTGGACCTGTACGATCTAGTTCGTACCGATAAGGGTTTCATCTATACCGTTGAGACGGGGAGAGGCCTATGCGTATCTTGGATATTAAGGGTATAAAAGAAAAAGTAGATAGATGCTGCGCACGGATAGCTTGTCTCGTATCTGGCGTGCTATAGTGTAGGGTCTAGGCAACTCATATATTGGGCAGGGCTAAATAATGAACGAATGATATGACCTTGACGCACGGATGCGCGGCTTCACATGTAATGTAATCATGACTGCAAATCTGGATCTCTCTCATGCTATCATATCTCTGAAACGCTAAATGCAAGATGCACGAACTTTTCGTATATGCAAGGAGAAACACTTTTTGTATCGTCAATAGACCGTTTCATGTAGGACAACCGGGGAGCTTATCTCGGCAGGGTATATACGAGGCTGCGCGAGGGTCGCGTCGGAGAATAAGTCTAGTCTAGGTGGATTCCGCCACACGGTCGAAATGGACTTTCGAGTCTAGGTTGAAGAAGGTGTTGACGCCGGAGAAAAGACACACAATTGCTAGTTTTGTTAGCGTTGGCGCAAAATTGAGAGTGGTAGGGAACAAACCGATAACGCAGCTCATCTCGTAGTAGCCGACTTGTTCGGCGATGTAGCCGGAGATGATGGGTCCGATGAATGCTCCGAGCGTCCACCCCATACTGGCTACTGACAGAGCACGGGAGTAGCCTCCGTTGGGGCCAAAGATGCCGGGGTGCTTGGCTTCGACTTCGTCAATTGTGACTGTACTTGCGTTAGGTTGTGTTCATAGTGGTATCTTTTCTGTACTGCTGAAGTTGTGCTTACCAGTAGCCTCGATGGTTCCGGCCCCGTTCAGCAGACAGGACACTGATCCCACCACAGTAACACCGACAGCATAGATAACTTTTCCGCGGTCACCCTCATTGGCCCATGGGAATCGCTCGTCACCGGGCATGCCGATCACCCACATCACGGGCGCGAGAAGCAAAAAGCCGACCGTGGTAGGCCATCGGGTCCCGACCCGATCTTTCAGCCAGCCACAGATGGGGCTAAGAAGGATCCCGGGACCTTGCAGAGCGAAGAACATCATGCCTGCAGGAAAACTACCCCAGCTGAAGACATCGCGAACATGAAGAGGAAGGGTGGTGTCGAAGCTGGAGACCAGAACAGCAAAGGAAAGATAGCTGAGCACGCCGCAGACGAAGCGGGGATACCGCAAGATATATACATAAAACTTCCAGCCCGCCATGTCGCCCTCTAAGCCAGGATTACTGCTCAGGAGAGGAGCGCGTTCTGGATCCGATGCGACACTCGCATGGCTAGAATAGTCCGCGTCGCCTTGGACGTCCGGCTTTTCTAGCATGAGCAGGCGAAGAACAATGTCGAGGATAAGGATAATAAAGGCACTAGACCATGCTACCCAGTATCCACCCAGTTCGAAAAGAATGCCCGCAACCATCGGACCTCCTGACGTGCCTGCTGCTACGACCAGAGAAATAACCCCGTATGTCTTGCCCAGATTTTCCGGTTGCACATTGTCCGCGATCGTGGCGTATCCGACCACCCAGATGAAGGAGCTGGCAATTGCCTGAATGAGACGTCCCGCGAAGAGGGTAAATGCTGTGCATAGTTGTCAGTATGCCAACATTCCAGAGATATGCGACATAGAGACCTACTTGATGTCGCCAAGGCCAGAACTATGGACCCAAACAACGCAGCTAACAGCGATCCAACGAGCAAGATTCGCTTGGAGGACATGCGATCGGCATAGTGGCCAATGAAAGGGCTTGTAACGAGAGCAGCGATGGCGGTTTCTGATAGCAAAGCGAAACTCACGCGCTGGGTGAGGGATACGTCTAATCCGAGGCGGTTTTCGAGAACGTAGGGGAGGATGGGAACGAGGAAGGCGTAGAGAAAAGTGTCTAGATAAGGCGACAGATAGTATTGTAAGCGGAATTCCTCACAGTAGGACAAACGCAGTCAATTGGGGTGTTACCAGTGAACAAGGCCATGGCCATGGCGCTGACAATGAAAAGGGGCGATGACCGCCATTGCTGGCCCCATGCGCCTCCCTTGGAGTCGGAGAAAGTCATGGTGCCGTCGTACAACTGCAGACCAGTTGGGAATGAGGCAGAGAAGACATTGCGATGGAGCGCTGCTGATAAGGATTGAGGGATGGGTGTCAGCCCTTAGCTGGCACCCCCAATCGGAGTCCGCGGCTAGCAATTCCGAAACCGAAGCCGGGGTTACTTATTAATCATCAAGCACGGAGTACGGAGTAATAGATGAGGATGATATACACCGCTTCCCATGATCTTCGGGCCATGCATGGAGGTGTCCCAACATAAACCTAAGCAGGTCATTGTTGGTGGGTATCGACCCTAGGGCCCGTGTTGACTGCAGGGAGAAGCAAGCACCTTGCAGGGGAAATCAAACATGTTTTGCGGGTGGGGCAAATCCTGACCAGGCACTCAGGCAGCAAGGCATCCACAGCCCACTGGGGGTTTATCTACTAAATATGTCTAGAAATTGATGGAGGCTGACTCTAATATCCGACAAATAGCCTATGTTGATCAAGAATAAATGAATATAGCCTGTTTCAATTATTAGAGAGCGAATCCTGCATTCACACAGTATCTCCTCCGAGTTCAATGCCAAAGGCCATATCCCTGCAGGAAACACCTTCATTATCGACGCTCTGCCCACTGTCCGATAGGTGGTCCGACACGTCCTGCAAACCTGGAACAAGGGTTTTTGACACCTCTGTATAGGCTGGGCTCTGATCTTCTGCATCTTTCGTAGCCAGGACCGTCTCTGGTACTACAACGAGAGCCCTGCTCGTTGACTCTTTGTACAAGCCCGGCCACAGCGTGCATTGAACACGACTTGCAACCTCCTGGAAAGGCATAGCCTGCTGCATATAATCCGGGGTAAATTTATCTCCCAAGGCACTGCGAAAGAAATGATAGCGGCTCAGTTGACGATCTAGATCGCGCTTGAACTGCATACACTCCCGCACAAGGGCACGCAATCGCATGGCCACAGTGGGCCCTTCAACGGAATAGTACTGCGAGAGCATTATCTCCACTTGAGATACCACCATGTTTATGTCGCTTTGCTCATCCCCAAGCTTCTCTACGGCCATGCTTGTGGCCGTGCGCCAGTGATGCTCAACATTTCCGGGGCCTGGGGTTCAAATCAGTCTCACTTTGACCTACAATAGATCGGAAGTCATACAATTCTGCCGTAGTGTCTCTGCAATAGACACGAAGCTTGCCGATTCTTCATTGGGTATTCCTAGTAGGTATGAACTGAATATGCGCTGAAACAGAATTTGGCTGACGACAGAGGCGATAAACGCTCGAATCTCATGTGGGCCTCGAGGTACAAACATTGCTCCATTGCGCTCGAGATTCTGTCTGAGTTTGTTCAGCTGATCCAAGTCGCGAAAGTAGGTATTGCACCAGTTTCTAAGTCGCTGTAGGAGCCGTCTCATATTTTGTGCGATATCGTCGTCAGAGAGAATGTTTGGCTGAAAATTTAGAGCTTGTATCTGCTGAGTGAGTGATCGGATGTCCGATTTCTTTTTAGCCAGCTCTGATCTCATCGACTCCTTAGACTGCTGCGCGTGGTATAGTTGACGCCGAAGGCCCTCTTCTACGTGACCCGTTGCCAGTGCAGCCTTTTCTAACCCTCTGTATAGTTCGGGGTTGTTCTGGGAATGTGAGCATGGGGATGTCATTGCTGAATCGTCAACTGTGAAATCGACTCACGCGAAGAAGATATTCGACAGGTGAAAATCTTGGAGGCGACATATTGCCGTTGGTAGCAAGTCTTCGGGGCCTTTCCATGTTGCGAAGGACATCAAGCATTGGAAAGTACTGGGAAACGATGTCGATGAACTGCTCCATGGTGGTAATTGCCGTTGTGTAAAATGCTGAACTCATCCTCCAAGGTCTTTGCCAACGTTGACTTCATCACTTCTGGCTAATCGTCATTGTGACTATGGGGACGGAAGTGAGGCATGGTAATGACAGAATCCATCTCTCTTCGGCTCCTTAAATCCGCTCTGCCACCCCTCCTTTCATTTCCACATTTTCTTTTTCGAATCTGTACGATAATATACTACTGTGTCTCAAATATGTCGAATCCTCGTATCGTCATTGGACTTGACTTCGGCACCACTTATAGTGGGTAAGAGATAATGAATTACCAATCGTGATCGGGGAACTAATATTTGTCAGTGTCGCCTGGGCTTTGAGAGATTGTCCAGATAAGCCAGAAGTCATAATGTCGTGGCCTGGAGCTGGGAACCGTTTGTGGCGTCTTTTGATACGTTTTTTAAAACAACCTGCTGATAATTAGCAACAGGGACAACACCTAAAGTCCCTAGCACCATGGCGATCAAATGCGGTGGGCGTGTCCATTGGGGTTACCAAACCAACTACCTTGCTGGAGATAATATCCGGGGCATGAAGCTATTATTAGATGAGCCCCAGAATTCAGGATACGTAGCATCTTTGATAGATGCGGGACTGCTCAAAAGGTCGCGCATACCTGCGGTTACTTTGACAGGCATGTATCTAACAGGACTGGTTGACCACACCAAGAAGATTCTCCAGAGGCGCTTTGGCCCAGCAGCCGAACAGATGGAGATGAAGTATGTCCTAACGGTGCCGGCCATTTGGTCTGATAAGGCAAAGGATGCGACCTTAAAAGCTGCTTCAAGGGCCAAAATCCCTCAGAAGGATATTACTTTAGTATCTGAGCCAGAGGCGGCAGCTTTGTACTGCCTCAATGCAATTCAACCTAACTCCATCGAGGTAAGTTGGAGTACGCAATAAGAAGAGCTTCTTTTTGACGTCGAATGCAGAACAACGATGTTGTCGTAGTATGCGATGCCGGTGGTGGTACTGTGGTAACTAAGCCTATCCACACATGGGTGTCTATTTGGCAATTATCATGACTGAACACGACAGGATCTCATCTCATACTGCGTGAAGACGGTGTCTCCATTGCGCTTGGAGGAGGTATCCGAGGGCAGCGGTATGCTATGCGTCCAGCCAAGACGCTATGTAAATCGGCTGACAAAAACAGGTGACATCTGTGGATCGGTTCTGCTCGATGCCGCATTCAAGACTTTTCTCAATGTCCTGGTGAATGATAAGCACCTAAGTGGAAAATCCTCCGAATTGGCGTTGAAGTACTGGCAAGATCAAATTAAGCCCAATTTTGCAAGTGACCCGGACTTTGAAGAGGAGACCCATTTTGTACCTCTGCCTGGATTGAAGGACAACCCCAAGATAGGTCTACAAGATGGGTTTCTTCAGCTGGAGGGGTGAGTAAATCTGCATCATCGATGCATCCCTGCGCGCCTCGAAGCTAAACTCTAGAGCTATAGTGCACAGATTAAGAAGATCTTCGATCCGGTTGTTGACCGAGTCAAGGTGCAGATAGTTCACCAGGTTAATAGCGCTAGAGCGAAAAATATGCCAGTGAAGGTGAGTACAGTCAGTTGATTTACGAGCGTGGCTGATTATTACCGGTAGGCAATCCTTCTGGTGGGAGGATTCGGGTCATCCGAGTACCTCTATCACTGTATTCAGGAAACATTCAGTGACATTGCTGTGATGCAGCCACCAAATTCGTAAGTAGTTAAGGAATGTCTTTTATGCTGCCCAGGCTAACAAGCACTAGGTGGTCTGCGGTGATGCTGTGAGTCTCTAAAGGTAGAAAGGGTATTGGCACAGCCTGCTTACCTTAATCCAGTGGTGCGGTTCGATATGGTTTGGGAGGCAACCAGGTTACGAACCGAATTGCTCGATGCCACTATGGTATTTGGCATGAAACACATAATCCCGACACAATGGCTAAGTTTCCAGACGCAAAGAGATTCTGGGATGACTTGAAGGAAAGGTGGTATATTCGCGACATGATGAAGTGGTATATCCACAAGGCAAGTACTCAGTCGATGATCTCCAGCGAACCATGCAACTGTTGCTCATTACTTTGTAGGGCGACGAGATTCACGAAGGAAAACCCATTAGGATGGGTTTTGACACGACCGTTGCTGTTGGCAGAACGCCCAGTGTTTTTAGCAGACTAAAAATATGCCTTCACAGTGAAGCGCCAGAACGTAGCGATAGTAGTAGGCAACTGACTATTTCATGTTCCACTGAGGTACATCAGCTAATTAGTATGCAGGTGTCTACCAGTTGTGTACCTTGACAACTGATTTAAGCAGTGTACCAACTCAATACTTCACAAAACACACGAACAGCAAAGGCACAGAGTACTACACTATTAGTCATGTCATGATTATGACCCCGGGGTCCGCCTCGATTAAATTCGAGCTGGAGTTTAATGGCCAATCGTATGGGGAGGTTCAGGCTACTTATTTCGATTGAAAGCTGCACTCGGACACTCCGACGGCGGTATGTTCAGGATACTGATCGTGCTTCTTTCTTTATTCTAGCGTAGCCATAGGAATGGTGATTCAAAGTCTATCAACACGTCCAATAAGTGCATAGTGATAGCTCAGAGGCATTGACGCTCTCATATAAACTCATGCGTCTAGACAGCCTACTTCTAACTGTATTCCCTCGGAGACCACACCACCCCAACCAACCATCAAATGATCTTAAACAGCTAATCAAATTTAAGGAGCCCCTCGCTGCCCCCCAGCTTCGCTAAGCCACCCAACTACCCTGAATATGCAGCAAACAGTCCGGATAAACACCTGCATTGGCCACCCCGACGCAGATCTTCCGCGAATAGCGTCGTGTTACGGTGAGCAGAGTTTACCCGCACCTCCGCATCCGGATAAAAACAGAGCACATCAATGCGATCGATCATCGGCCGAATCCGTGCTCAATGTTTGTAATAAAGAGGGGGAAACATCCCCCGTTACCTTCTCTTCGCATACGCCATACCGACAGTACACAATGCGCCTGCCACGCTGCGTCAGCGTCGTTCTCCTAGGGCTGGAAGTGGCACTCGCCGAGTCCACCCAAAAATGGAGCATTGAGGATTTCAAAACCTTGGTCACCTTCGGTGATAGCTATACGGACGATACGCGAATTAGCTACTTCATCAACCACAATGGGTCTGCACCGCCAGTGGGTTGGGTCGAGCCTATTGTATGTTCCCCAGACACCACACACACTATCCCTACCTCCAAATGCACATAAACACCTACATCATATACACCACTAACAAATACCACCAGACAAACGAATCCGCCTCCGGCGGCTACATCTGGGGTCACTTCGTGCACCAATACGCCCACCTATCCCACCGGTACAACTACGCCGTCAGTGGCGCCTCCTGCTCGAACAAAATAACCCCCCGAACGACCTCCTTCGGACTCTACCCCTCCGTCCTGGAATACGAAGTCCCAGCTTTCACAGCCGACAACGCCTACCACATTCCTAGCACGGGAGAAAAATTCCTCCAAAACGATCCAGACAGCACAATCTACTCCATCTGGATCGGGACGAACGATCTGGGGAACTACGCGTTCCTGACTGATTCGCAGGTCGCGAATAAGACGATTCCGGATTACGTTGACTGTGTGTTCAATGCCCTCGATGGCGTGTACAAAGCCGCGAAGGGAAAGTATTTTGTTATTATGAACATGGTGCCGTTGCAGTTAGCGCCGCTGTATGCGACGCCGGAGAATGGGGGCATCGGGGCGAATAATTACTGGCCTGATAAGTCGGGGAATTTCACCGAGATTAGTTATCGCATGTGGGAGCAGGTGAGTACCGTTAATCAGGTTTATGATTATCGGACGCCGTTTGAGTGGGTTGTTGGGAAGAGGTATCCTGGAGCGAAGGTCGCGGTTATGGATATGTATTCATTGGTGAGTACATTTCTTCCTTGAGGGGTTGAGGTGTGAATGTTGCTGATTTGGGCAGATCTCGGATATCTATTATCATCCGCAGCAATATCTCAATGGGTCGGCGCCGGCGAATGTTACGGGATATATTCATCATTGTAATGTCGCGGGGTCAGAGTGTGAGACGCTGTCGAGTCCGGATTCGTTTCTCTGGTATGATCAGTTGCATCCGTCGCAGAGGACGGATGAGATTATTGCAGAGGAGTTTATCAAGGTAGTGAAGGGGGAGAGTGAGTATGCGACATATTGGTCGTAGGGTTCATGACTTAGGTAGTATATACGATTCGATGATGCAGCCTACGAGTACTTGAAAATGGAAGCATAGGGGCATCTGAAATCGTACGGGAAATATATTCTACAAGCAGAACACAATGGTCACTGTAGCCATAGTTTGTTAGACCTCGTACTTGAAGTCTTTACATTCATTGCATCGGAAAGGTTGTCATTCCCCAGGAATAATGTGATATGTCTACTGGACCTAGCGTCATTCTACACAACATCGAACTCAATAGTACCCCATCCCTCAAATGTGCAAGTCCACTGACCAATCTCCATAGGAATAGCCTCCAGACAACTCCCGGGCATAATAACCTGCCCTGCCTGAAACTGAATATCATATTCCGCCAACCGATTCACCAACCACGCCACAGCCGAGATCGGATTCCCAAGAACATTCTTCGTATTCCCCGTCATCAGCTCCTTGCCATTATGTTTCAAGACACCGCGGGTATTATTAAGTGTAAGGTCGGTAAGCTTGCGCGGCGTTCCACCAAGTATGATAGCCCCAGTTGACCCGTTATCTGCAAGCGTATCCGGAAGATCAATCGCCCAGTTTTTGACACGGGAGTCGATAATCTCAATAGCAGGAATAGCATAGTCAATGGCATTGATGACATCCGCCACGGTGATATTAGGACCTTTCAGGGGCCCCTTCAGAACGAAAGCAGGCTCGAGTTCGACGAACGGCTTGATGAATTTATCGAGGTGGATAGGCGTGCCTTCGTAGATGAAGGACTTTGCATGCAGGAACCCATAGTCGGGGTGGTCAAGACCAAATGCGGTCTGCATCACTTTTGCGATGTTGCCGAGCTTGTATCCGACTAGACGGTCGCCGTTGGCGACGTTGTGCTTGGAGTTGATTTCTTGGATCCTGAAGCCATCGTCTGGGGTGAGGCTGGGCCAGGTCTTGGTTGGTGGGTCGATGGGTTTTCCTTCAGCTAGGGCTGCGCGGAGGGCAGATGCGACGTCGTTAAGGTTGATAGAAGACATGGTGAGGAGTGATTTAGAGATAAGAAGAATGGTGAGGATTGGATGATTGATCGAGTATTACCTTGGTAGGGCATCGGGGCCATATAAACAAACTCGTAATTCATGCATCGTTTTTCTACCAACCTGCCTCCATAGAAGCGTCTCGGAATAAAGCAGTTGCGGTCATTCTTTACGTGCTATCTCTGGCTACTATGATAGACACTCACATCCGATTCCGAGACGATCCATTCCCTACGTTCTAAGATAAGCATCGGATAGAAGCCGAGACCCCCACCTTCATCCGAGGGTGCTGCCGCGGGTGCTGCCGAGAGCAGCGACCACAGATGTCGGGGATCGGGTTCACTATAGACCAAATCAGATTTCTACATACTGTCTATCTGGCGGGATGAAGGCCTCATTTCCAATGGTCGGTTCCAGGTCTCGGAAGAGTCGATGCTGCGGGAAACCATTTCATACGAGCAATTTAACAATAATGAGATATCACGCGCCGTCGTCAGGGTTCGGACCACAAGTCCGATATATAAACGAATGTACAGGTATCCAGTAACGACATCTTCACCACTCAGATTGGAGTCCACATCTACAATCACAATATCTCTTATAGATAATGGCTCATTCAGGAACCTTCGTCGATACTGAAGCACCCACTTTTATTGGACCAGCATCCAAGAGAGCCATGAGGCTATCTTCCGACCCGCCGTAATCCCTAATTCAGGGAGCAAAGTTCACCAAGAGGAGTCACTTGATCCCGTGAGGCATATGACCTACCAACTCACAAGTCGATCTATACGATGAAGCAAATTATTTGGAGGGACACGACATCTCACCCCATGCGGCCACAGAATCAAGCATATGACTCTGAGAATGGGTCCAGCATCAGTAGAGCAAAGGCGACATGATGAAACTGCTGCTTTTTTAGCCGAGTTGTGCTCCTTGCACATATGGTGCCTCCCCGAAGTCCTGACGAGGGTTTTGAGGTCACTGGCATTGACCTTGTTCCATCAATTGACTTTGATTGCCAACATCAACATCTGGATCCGGGACGGGAACGCGAACATAGTACACATTGTCATTATCGATTGCTCGGGCATTGGGCACCCGGTCATCGTCTGGCATTATGACATTCCCCGGTTGTGTGCATGCTATTGATTTCCGATTGCACCCCCACGTCGCGGTGCGCGGTATCAGTGACATAAATGAGCTTTACACTTAATACGCGGAGTACCCATGATAGATCTGCAGGAACGTAATTTCCTCATCAACGGAAAAATAAACGGGAAGGTGTCGTAACCAAGAGGCCATTCAACACTCCCGCGATGAAACACTTTCTCGAGAATCAGAAGTTGCTTATGATATTAATGTTTACGCGGATTTCGAAAAATGAACAGGTGCTTACATTTTCCGGCAGGACATTATAGTTGCCTGGTTTGGTTAGCCAACAATTTAGCGTTTTGGTAAATAAATAAATCCCCTCCCAGTTCATGCCATGACCCTCCTGGGAGTCTCGTATTGGTTTTGATGACTATTGTGTATGTTGGCTAGTTGACTTACTAGCTGTATCAATCCTAGTAAGTCTGGCTATGGTTGAGTAGAAATCTCAGCCTGAGTTATCGATTGATTTCTCCATCTATCTCAGTTTATCTTGACCGATAAGCGAAGCAGGAAGAAGTACACTCGGCAAATCTCGGCTTGGCACCCGATCACACGAATATTGGCGGTTTTTGGGAGGGTGCTTTTCTTCCAACGCCAACGTCGGCTTATCTGCGGGGGAACGACCCACAATATGCGGTTTTGGGAAAGCCTAAGCTTGTTGATCAAGGCCGCATTCAGCTGCCGCACTTTGACTGAAAATGCGGGGGATCCGAGATGCGTTAATCGTCTTCTGTGCCTCTGTATTGGCCCCGACGTCATTGGCTACGCTGGTTCCCAACACCTGTTATAAAGGGGTCACCATGGCCTTCTCGATGTGCTGGAATCTTCCTTTTTCTCTCCAGGAATAATTCAGCATCCCTTTTTTCGATATGGACGCCGACAAAAAGGACATTGAAGATGTGCCGCAGCAACCCGAATACGTTCATGACGATGTGTTCGGGGAGATCTCGGAGCACGGTCCCAACTTTCGCAATGTTCATACAAGCAGTTCTCATTAAACAAAGTCACAAAAGCTAATTGATTCCACTAGGTCGGCTTCCTAGGAACCGTTATCCTCATGATGAAGACGCAGATTGGTTTGGGCGT